ATTGCATTTACTTTGCTGTTAGCTTCACATATATTGGGTTTAAATTGGGTGTGATTGCAGAGCTTTAGTACAAAACATTACTCTATTAATCCCGCTAACCAATCACAACAATAGGCAGACGGCTGCTATTTGGCTGTTTACACCCAGCATGAGCTTTCAGTAGGGGTATTTGCTGGAGTTGTTGTCTTGATAACCATGTGTACATATTTTTGAGAAATGACTTAAACAGTCAAATGAACTATTACTCAAACTTGAAGAGTTATGAAGCTTTGTTTTCTGTTTTCTCTGTATGCTTTGTGAGATTTTAACTTTGACATCATGAAGTTATTTTGACTATTTCAAGCTAATTTACCAGAGGCTTAACGTTTAAGCGAAATATCTCTCTGCATTTTGTCTCTCATTCAGAAGAAATCTCGGATGTCTTTGTGATCATTGTACACACGGCAAGCCACGAGGTGTTCTGCTCAGTTTAGAGCGTTTCATTTTCTCATCATGGGACTATTATTTGTTCACATACAAAAAATGACAAAGACTGCCAGTTTTATGTGACAGACTGCTTTGTGTTGGGCTTTTGAAAGCTCTGGACTGTGCCTTTTTCAGCACATTGTTCATTCTCGCTCTGCTCGTTCTGCAGCAGATAAAAGTGGAGACTCAGTAATGGACCATTAGCATTGTGCTGGATCTGCCTCTTACGCAGCCATCATTACCGAACCACATTAGACATGGAAACCAGTCCTGAGAAAATCCATTTTTGCAAGAGTCTGGCATGACTTCTGAATTCCCCATGAAAATATATCTGTAGTTACAGTGCTGTGGGTGCTTCTGGCTGATATCTGCATTCACTAGATTTATGCTCTCTTGGTAGAGGTGTGTCGTCTGAGCCAGAGAGGTAGGCTCTCTTATCTGTGGACTCAGACCAGATGAGGAAAAAAAGTACTTGGCGTAACTTAACAGCTACGCTCACTTGGGATCGCAGCAAAGGATTATGGAGTTAGAAACGTGAGATAAAAGTTTAAGTTAAGAGGCTTTAATCAGAACTTTGCTGCCACTCCAAATTATTTTAAATTGACTTGTACTTTCAACAGAATATTAAGATGAATGCATTGCTTTGCATGTCTTTGTCTTGACTGTTTTGCGTGTTGGTTACCCAGATTTATTATGCAGATCTAGAGTAACCTTCCTCGTTAAGATTTAATGCCATCCATTCATTACCTCTGGCACAGGGACTAATGACACTATTAATCAGCCGTGAATAGAGCTTGGCAGTGGAAGTGTAAGGCTGACACATCCTTACTGTAACAATTCAAGGCATGCGCGTACAAGACAGATTGTCAAAAGGACATCGAAAGCTGCCCCCGCATGTCGATTATCCCCAGCTGACAATGCGCCTGACGATGGAACTACATTTAATGGTTTTGTTTGCCCTTCTTCACCCGTCCCACGATGTGTTTCACCACAGGCTTTGCTGTACCTCTTTGTCTGATCTGACAATGATTTAGGGATTATTCTTGATGAGGTGTGGTGTTTTTTCAGAGATTCATGCAACATCTTATCCCACTTCTTTTTGTTCTAAGATGGAATCTGATGGAAAGCTCTGCTCAGAGATGTAAGGTAGTGACCAAGTGTCTGCAAGGCAGGGGGTGTCAGACTCTAGTGTCGTGTAAAGTAACCCCCCTCTGACCTCTGAGAAGACTTTCACCCCTTCAACTTCAATCTCTATTTTTCTTCTCTGAAAGATGCACTTCTCTGGATTTCTGTGCTTCTGAACTAAACACTGGTTGCAACAAATCCAAAAAAAAGTTGTATTCCTAAAAAAGACTGCACATTTATGTCTCAAACTTGGCTCAATACTCCCTGGCTCAATCTGTGAGCTGCTGCTCAAGTTGAAAACTGACTTACATGGATAATATTTAGGACACATGGGATCCTGTCCTACTTATACAGGTTAGTGTTTGCATATTTAAAGGAAAGAGCTCCAATGGGAAATCTTGATATTTATTTACTGTTGTTCATGCCTTACACGCTTCAAGCTTCTTTTAAGATTTGGAGCAATCAATACCCAAGCTTTATTCCCATTTTGTGTTTTTTTTTTTTTCTTCATCCTGTTATGTAAACATTCATAACTTTTGTCTGATCTGTTTACCTTCACTCTTGTTTGTACTACAACCTATCTTCAGAACTGATATTTAAAAATGACCGTAGATGATTTTTCATTTTTTAGTCCAGTAGTTAAAAAAGTAAACAGAGGACACTTCTTTCATAGTGTTTCATCTTGAATGGACCAAATCAGCGCTGAGTTTCACTTGTAACAGTCACTCGTCTATAATTCTACAATTCACTTAGAAGACACTTTTATCCAAAGCAACATACATCAGAGAGTAAGTACAACACAAGCAAGGATCTAGAAAATAGGAAACAAAGTCAGTTAGTGCAAACGATCAGCTTTGAGTCCGATTGTATTTGCTCTGTGCTCTGTGCAAATTGTATTTGCACAGAGCACAAAACTGATGGCAGTTCTTGAGAGCTCTAATCAGTATAGACGCCATCTCAACAAAACCATCGCCATTTCCATCATACATACATACAGGGCGCCGAATAGTCCTCGTCTCAGCAGCCGTGTGTTTGACTCAGACTCGTCCCTTTGCTGCATACATACATACAAACAAACAAACATACATACAGTCATACATTAATAGAGTGAAGGCCTTCATGCGAGCCTCACTTGCTAAGACTCATTAGTTGAGGGTCTGAATGAGGGTCTGTTTCCTTTGGGTAGAAGTTTCCCTCCAAGATATTGCAGCGACCACTAGAAACTCTGTTCTCCACTCATTTGACTTTGGTTAGAAATGCAACAGTGACATTAATTTAGTGAGATGAACCCTCTAAACTACAAACGTCAGACTTTTTTGTACAATGCTTCTTTCATAGTACTTTCAGGGTTATTCATTTTTTGCCGCGGTGGTTTTCATGTATTTATTAGTGGTGAGTGAGTGGATCTTTCTGTTCATTGTCGAGGTGAATACTAATGTCTCTGTCTTCTGACCACATAAAAATCCACTCTGTTCCATCACAGTCATTTTTGGAGTGTTCTCATTTTAGTAAAGCTGGAAGTGCTTCTTCATCAACAAACAGACTTCGAGCTTGTGTTAATAGTGTAAGCCTGTTTATGGTTTAACCGTGAGAGGCATTTCACCAGTGTGATGTGAGACACCAGAGTGTTCCTCTTTTTCTGCTGCTTCTGTGCAGCTTCATAAATGAGGATAATTGTTCAGCATCTGGTAATTTACACTGCAGTCAGAAAGTATTAGGATGATAATATGTTTTCCGTTGTTTCGGGCGCTAATCCAGCAAACTAGATTAGGAATGGAACAGTGGCTTTGAGGTTGAAGTGCTGACTTACAGCTTTGAGGTTGTTTGAGGCCGTTGTCATTTATATTAGAGTTGAGAGTCCTACAGTAACACTTCTTAAACATAAGCCTCCGATCTTTCTTCCCCCTTGAACATACTCAAAAGGTAAAGGACGAGTTTTCACACAGTGGAGTAACCTGAGAATATGTTTCATGGTGGACAGTGTGAGCAGCGACCAGAAATCGACCTGTTGCATCTTAATGTATGATGAATTGATTTGCTTTAGCATAGATTCAACATGAAACACCAAGATGGCTGAGTGTACTGAGTGTGCATACACACAGATAGAAACATGCATAAACACTCAAAGTCATTTCAATTGCCTTCAGAGGTTTATTCACACTCAGTTTTGGTAATCAAATTGATCTCGGTGTGTGTGTGTGTGTGTGTGTGTGTGTATGTGTGTGAGAGAGAGAGAGAGAGAGAGAGAGAGAGAAGTGTTTACGCACAGAAAAGTGTGTGTGGACAATGTGATTGGAAGAAATAAACCCAAAACCTTCATATCACAGAAGTCAGAGAACTCCAAATGTAAACAAATACAGAAAGCCAAGTTAGCGGTGAGTCCACATGCCGTGGCAGACAAACATGCCGGCAGCCGCTTTGCATTTCAAAACAATTTCTCCAGTAATAATACACCGTTTGCACAGCGCTCTCACGGTGCCCCTTCTTCTTGCGTCTCAGCTTCACCCTCCGCTCCGTTCTCTCTGACCTGCACACAAATGGAAATGTCACACACACACTGACATTCTTTCCGTATGGTTTCGTTTCGCCCACTTGCCAAGCGAATGGAAAGCAGATCTCGCTGAGTCTGACCGCAGATTGTTCTTCAAAAAGTAGAAGGGAAAAAAAAAAACAACCACCGAATGAAATCAAAAACATTTCTGTGGCTAGGCTGTGGAATGTGACGGCAAAAGTGTTTAAAAAGCATCATCTGGTGTGTTATTTGAGAAACTCCAGAATGAACTTTTGAGGAGGGTTGGGTGTTTCACTGTGTCTGAGATTAAACGGTGTAAATCCCTGAACACATAGAAGGTTTATATTTTGTGCATTTGAAGGTTAGAAGGAGGCTTAATTCCTGTCGAACCAAACTCTGCCTCTTCTTTTCCAATGAATACTGGCCAAATGTCTGAAAATAATCCAAACCAATCATTTTGAGTCGCATACTGGCAGGACGTCTGTCTGTGAAAATGAACTGTACGATGCTATGTTCTGCTCCCTCTACCCCGACATTAGAGAGCTGTGTGTAGATCTGCATGTGTAGTCCCCTTGTATTGTGCTTTTATTTGTCAACTTTGTGAATGTAGTAGAAGTGTTTTATTTCTGTGGTTCCTTGTCACGCCAACAGTCTTTTTTTGTTACGTTGTTGTTATTTTGTTTTTTCTTCTTTTTTTTTGTTTCCTCCCTCTTTCGTTTCACTGTCATTCCCATTTCAACTCCTTTTCTCTCCTCTACCTGTTCCTTTTGGACACCTCTTTGTGAAATTTCTCCCCCTCCCCTCCGACACTGCTGCTGTCTCCTGTCTCCCCTGTCTCCCTACACCCATCCTCCCGCCATCCCGCCATCCCTCCCTCCTCCCTCCTCCCAACCCAAAGACGTAGCCCTGCCCTCTTCCCTTCCCCCCTCACTGACTCCTAACACTACTGACCATGTAACGCCAGGCTCCGGAGGTGTAACCGTTCCAGCAGGGCCGAGCCCCTCTGCCCCCAGAGATGTCGTGGCTTCGTTGGTTTCCACCCGCTTCATCAAACTGACCTGGCGCCCGCCAGCCGAACCCCACGGAGACGAGTTAACTTACTCTGTTTTCTACAGCCAGGAGGGCACCAGCAGGTAGTGTACACACTACATTGTACTACTGCCAGGAGGGCACTATACACACATTAATGCTGGAGTCAGCAGGGTACTAATATACATAATTCCTGTGCAGAAGTCTCAGACCACTCTGAAAACACATCTAATTAAAGCATTTAAAGCAGTAAGTGTTTGTTAATTAAAATCAAACTTCCTTCCTCAAAGGATTAGCGTTTAACTCTGAAGCAAGAAGCTAAAATATCTGTTCAAACATTGTTATTCCCTTCTTCTTTCTTTAAGTACCCCTGTGATAATTCTTCCCCAGCTTTGTGTAAAGGATTTACCGTATATGACCGAGAGGGAAATTTAAGAAGAGAGAGGATTTTCCACAAATTCCTTTTTTGGCAGCTCTTTCATGGTTTTCCTGTAAAATAGCTTTAAGAAATGTTCAGAAGAGGCCTGATACAGAAGAGTTTAACTCTCCGCTCGAGCTTGAGAGGCAAAGTGCAAAAACATATATATATATGTGCAACTGCATGGAGGGTACACATAGTATTTACTCGCACCTTTATATACATATAACCACTTGTCTGGGTTGTAATATGCTCATTGTTATTAAATTACTTAATTCATTTGATAGTCAGAAAATGAGTTTGTAATTAAGATAGAATGGTTTAATAAATAAAATAAAAGTTATTCCAGCTTCTCAAATGTTTTTTCTGCTTTCTTATTCCTGTATTATATATGATTAATAAATAAACATGTATCATATTGTTGTTTATTGCATTTCCATTTTAAAAACTGGCAACAGTAGGTATGATTAGAGCCTTTTCAGACATTTTTGACGAGAAATAAATTAATAATGTATGGTAGCATCGAGCAAAAAGCATCAGAACAAGTTCTGTAGGATGAACTCTGAATCAGCAAGATCATTCAAAGGATTCCATCTTTTCATTATGTGCGCAACACTACAAATTGTATTGAATATATCAAATCTTTTGCTGTGTGTGTGTGTGTGTGTGTGTGTCCACATCAGGGAGCGAGTAGTGAACACCAGCCGCCCAGGAGAGATGCAGGTCACCATCCAGAACCTCATGCCCGACACCAAATATCGCTTCAGGGTCGTAGCCCATAACAGCAACGGCCAGGGAGAGAGTTCTGCAGCGCTCAAAGTGGCCACCCAGGCTGAAGGTAAAGACACACACACACACACACACACACACACACACACACACACAGGTTCATTTATATGTGCTCAGTAAACAGCACCCACTAAACATGAAGGCAAAGTCCAGCCAGTCAGTTGGAAACATGCACACGCTGGCAATGCCGAGGCAAACAGGATGAACTCACAAATGTGCAAATAAACATTCCCACAAACAAATATTCACTGACATACAGCAAACACTCACTTCAAACAGAGACACATGCGCTTACGTTCACACACACACACACACACACACACACACACACACACACATGCACACATAGAAGGGGGTGTTTATTGCTGTCCGTTAAGGCAGACCACCCAACAGCCAGCCAACCAGAGAAATGCAGTGTTGTCTTCTCATAAGCCAGATCTTGTTTACACCCCCACAATTTGCTATAAGCCCTCTTTGTGTTTCCTAAAACTTTACCTACCTGAGTGAGGAAAGTCTGAAAGTTATTCCAGATATTTCCTTTATTTAATCTTTACAGAGATGCTTTACAGAGTCACTCATTAGGATGTTTTGACTGGAGAACTTAAAAATGAGTGCGGGAACAAAGTGTCTCTCTTTTCTCTTTGTGTCGGATTTATAAACCTCCCCGCTGCTGCTGCTGCTGCTCTAAATCTCTTGCTTTCACCTACATTTGAAAGTGCTGTGAAGGGGATTTCCCGGCACAGTCTCAAGTTGAACGTCCCTCACCTCCAGACTCGGCTACAGCTCAGTCACTGTCAGTTTGTAGGTCAGCTGCTGTTTCTCTACCTGTGTCCTTGTTTGGAGGGCGACGGAACCACACACATTCACACAAAACACACTATACCTTAACGGCTGCCAGCAGGCGCCTGGCCACCCATGGGGTTGGGGGCGGGGGGGGAGCAGTGAGAGCAGGCTGTACCTGGGCAGTACAGCAGTACATCTCTGTCATGTGTGTGTGTGTGCACTTTTAGTGTAAGAACATGCTATGAATTGGAGCTTAAACTGTTGACCTATGTCTGAGTGTGCACACAACACCACCCCTAGTCACCTCTCCTCAGAGACAGGCTTAATAAACCTGTACACTCACTCACACACACACACTCACTCATATGTCACCTTCCAGTACTCACTGACGAATGGGAGCTTCTCTCTTCTGTCAGGAACGCCGGCAGCTACATCTTTAAAAAACGTATATATACTACAGACATATCTCTATCTGACAGCTGGTACTTTAACCTCATTGTTGTTATCGTATTAAAATGAATCCAGCATGCCACAGTACAAACACAACAAGAAATGTTGCTATCAGTATACTTACTGACATGGAGCATTCTTTGTACCGCGCTGTCACAAACGATGAGGGCAGCGATACATATTTTGTTATTTCAAAATTCTCTTCCAGCAGTCTGGATATAAATTAAAATATTTACTTACATGGTAAAGTACTGACTGTCAGCTTTTATTTAAATTTGCAGCAGAGTAGAAATAGTAGCCCTCTATAGCATTAGTCCCTCTATTCTCAGGGGATATAAAGTAGTTATGATCCTTTATTTATACATTACATTTATGTTTATATTCTCATGTCTTACATGTTACCTATTTGCCCCTCTCTGTTATAATCCTACATTATATGCAGCTGCCTGTCAATCATAATATCGAGCTGATACACAGACTGGTGAAAGTTCATGTACAGGACACAGCAGCATAAAAATAAACGACTCACCCTGAAGTAGAGATGCAACTGTTATGCCGTACATTGTCCAGCTTATAAATGGCTTCTACATTTACATTTACCACTATTTCGTTTATTCTCCTAAAATGTAGTTGGTTCTAAGGCTGTTACTCTGTCAATAGCAACTGTACTCCGAAACCTTAAAATCCGCCAAGTTATCTGTTCAAATTAAAATATAACTGAACAATTAATCCTGTATTTAACAAAGTCATCTGATAAACTGTCAAACATCTTGCTCTACCACACTGAACAAAAGCGACAAAGACAAGTTTTGGGGGAATAAAAGATGCACATTTTGTTTTGTTTGGATGTACCTTTACTCTGTTTGTCATGGGAATAAAAAGAAAATCAACATGGCTTTGAGCCCAGCGTAAAGGGGACGGATTTGTCTCCACCAAGCTGCAGAGACTGAGCCGTCTTCTGGTCTGAGCTCGCGGGGAAATGTGGCTGTGAGGGAGCCAAGAATGTGTGTTTTTGGCAGCAACGACTGGACCTCGCTCAATTGAGTCCATGTCTTTTGAGATGTAGCAAAAAGCATCAGACGTGGAGTACATTGAAGATATGAAATTTAAAATAGAGAGGTTTGTTCATTTCTGCTCCCCTGCTTCACCCTTTTCCCCCAGTCCAAGTGCCGGGTCCCGCTCCTAACCTGCAGGCGGTGTCCAACACGCCAACCTCCGTCTCTCTGAGCTGGGACAAACCTCTCACTGGCAATGGCGAGATCGTCACCTACAAGCTGTACTACACAGACAAGAGCGTCGGCAATGAACAGGTAGGATGAAGCCTCTATTCAGTGCGCTTAGTTCTTCTTTTTAAAGGGAAAATCCCGACTGTGAGGAAACCCACTATAGGAAAAGAATATTCCATAATTTAAATTTATGATAGGAAGTTTTGTTTAAAAAATCTGCATCTTTAGCTGGAGATCACCTTGAAAACTTTTCTGTTTGTTTTGAAATGTTTCAAGCAGAGCTGCAGATACCAAAATGAAACACAGGACGAAGCCTGATGAAAACTAAAATGTTATCCAGAAGTTTAATGTACAGATAAATTAAATTAAATCAGGATAAACTTCCTTTACCATTTTTTAAAAGATGGCACTGACTCAGCCCTTAGGCTTATTAAATGTATCTTTTATTTTCATGTTTCTTTGTGTGCACTCCTCCAAACATGCAGCTTCTGTCGGGCTGCTCATGCGGCCTTGTAACAGTGTGTGTAGCTGATGCTTGATTTTGCAGGGTTCATTAGATAATGTAAAAAGAATATGACTGTGTAGACTAATGTGTCTAAATGTGATGAGGTAAGTAGTTCCTAATAATCTGCCCAAAGACTCTTTGTTCTGCTTTTCGCCCACACTCTTGATTATGCATCTCACACAGAAACGCACACTTTATAAAAAAGCAGCTACCATTCCCTGAGTCCTTCTCTGCAGGTCTAACTCTCCGTCGCAAGAGTGGAATCTGGTCAGATATTGAGTCAGCCCAGGCTTTAGCAGTAGAAGTGGGCAAGCCAGTGAGGCATTAAAAAGCCTTTAATATGATAATGGATGAAACGTCAGCCAGCACACTGAGTAATGATGCCTCTGCTCCCGGGAGAAGAGAGCCAGAGATGAGGTGAGAGAGGCGAGAGATGAAGAGAGGGATGGAAAGAAGAGAAAAGAGGTGAAGGAATGGGAGAGAAGAGAGATGAAGTTAGAAAGATGCATACTGAAAAAGACATGAAATATTAAAAGACGGGGGCAAGTCAGGGACAACCCGCGGTGCATCTTCAAGACTGATGTGGTCACGTGAACATCTGACCTGAGATCAGAGGCTGCGGTCCGACCACTCTGGAGGCGAGATTAGATTTCAACAAAGTCCCAGCTTTTCACTCCAATTGTAAAAGCCGAGGAGCTGAATGCAAATTGGCTTGGTGTAATTGGGCATGTGCGAGCGACGTGCCCAATTTGTAAAGCAAAAAGTGGTAATCACAGAGCGCATAATTTGTGTCTCAGTGGAAGAAGACATTTTTAAACGGAATAACAAACAGAAATGTTGGAGCAATGAAATGATGAATCAGCCGTCACATTTTGTAGCTTTGACATATTTGCAGGATTGCTCGGCTTGTAAATGTATTGAAACTGGTTGGAAACAGAATATTTAGACCGTATTAAATCTGAACACACGCATAATAAAACAACTGTAATGCTGCAATATCAACTGTAATATCAACATGATGTCACCACTGAAACACTCACTTTCTTTCTTCTTTTGCAGGGAATGTTTTCAAAAATGAAACCTTTTCAATTTTTAACCAAAGCTTTCCATCAGTGGTTCTCTTGTTATGTGTTTTTTTTTGTCTGTAGAAGCACATATTACAGTTTAGGAGAAAAGAAAGAAAAATCTATATTTCTTTAAATTGGAAAATGATACAAAGTAGAAGTCCTAATATGACTGTTTTTCCCCTTGTTTCAGGACGTTGACATAGACAGTCAGTCGTACACCATGACCGGGCTGAAGAAGAACACCGAGTATAGTTTACGTGTGGTGGCCAACAACAAGCACGGTCCAGGTGTCTCCACTGACGACGTCGTAGTCCGAACCCTCTCTGATGGTCAGTTGGTTGTAGAGGCCAAAATCTAAGCTGGCTGCTTTTAGTTCGGTTGTTGTGCATTTAAATCCAGCGAGATGCATTACTTGTAAATATCTCTATCTCACTTTGAAGTAGATTAAACATATTAATAAGTCTCCAGTAATAGATTAAAGTGGCTTTTATTTACTTCTTTACACAAATAAAATGTCAGTAACATCTGAATGTAATGCCACAGTACTATGAAATCACATTTTCTCAAGTTAAAATATTACATAAACGGCAAAAAACAAAACAAAGTGCTGACAGTCCCCCCCCCCTGAAAACATTGATATAAAAATAATCAGTTCCGATTGGATTTGAGTCCATCAGTTCATTGTTTCAACTCTATAAAAGATTATATTTCTTTGTTCTGGTTGTTTTTTTGCTGAAGAAAATGATTGATCTGTTTACCTTTTTGTGTCACAGTTCCAAGTTCCTCTCCTCAAAACCTCACCGTGGAGGTCCAGAACTCAAAGGTAAGACTGAGAGTCAGATTTAGATTTTTCTTGTTGCCTCATTTCGGAGTTACAAGCGTCCACCCTCATCATAGACACTGCCTCAGGTACAGAATGCAAATAGAACGTCCAATAGTGTGGCTGTGTTGTGTTGTGTGCAGTGTATCCACTTCACTACATCCACAATCACTCACTCAGGTACACACACCAACAGAAGAACAGATACATAGCCTGCAGAGCAGAACACTGTTGTTTCTCTCCGTGATTATCTGCGTCAGAGGCCTGAAGCCCCAGCTGGTTAAGAGGGTGTGTGAACCCTCATCGATTCTCTCATCGGCAGGAGACTCGCCTGTCAAAAGGTTTTATCCTCTGCGTCACTCTCATCTGTACAGTATGTGGAAAATAAAAGCCTGCAGCTAAAATCTAAATGGAAATCAAAAAAAGTGTTAGCCTTGGGAGGAACACATGCCACACATAAGAACTAGTTAAATCATCATGGCAGGTTTTTTAAAAACAAAGAATCCCTCGCTCAAAACAAAATCAAATTAGCCCAATTAACATGGATGCCTAGATGTTTATTACCTGTAAATTATTATTATTCAGGTGACTGAAAATTCACCCTGTTGGTTGACATGTTTTCTAGGCAACAAGATAAATTGAATAAATTCAAAACCGATTAAAGTGTGTGAAAGTCTTTTATCTAGATAACTTTTTTTCTCTTTTTGATCACTGATAGCTGGATCGTATTTCCCACAGGCCAGGAGACAACTCCTGATGCCTCACGCTTTTTTGAGTTTGATGTTAGAGCAGATTTTCTTTTACAGTTAAACAAACTGTAGTTGTTGTGTGACACTCCTGATTAGATAAGGCTGCTGAAGCATCTGCCCGCTGCACAACAGGCTCCTGATTACAGCAGGAAGCCGTCCTCGGCTGCCTGTCTCTTTAGCCATTTGATCTTCAAACACAGAGCTGTTGGCCTGTTTATTGTACATACCCACCCGAGTGTTGGATTAAATTTGATAAAAGGGGGGATTCTCACTCGTGACATGTGAGGCAGCAAGTGCAAACAGAGAGCAGCAAAGAGGAAGAGGAAGAAACCAAAAACCTCAGGGTGCATGCTTTGAATACAAAAGCAGCAGCCGAAGCTTTCAGCCCGTCGCTGGTCGATGCGGAGCTCAAGTGAAAGAGAACTGTCAAAGCAAACTGGGGGGAAAAAATAACACTGGTAGACAATCCTATCACACACTCCCAGCTTGAGTGAGAACTGGCCACCCATGCTGCGGGACACTCAGCCGAGATTTGTGGAGAGAAAACACTCATGCTAATGTTGAGAGAAAAATGAAGAGGAGACGCTCTGTGGGAAACGGGGATTGTAGCAGAATAGTTTTAAGACTGTACATCCCATTCAGAACAGGGAAATAAACATCTGGCCTCCTTTATTTCTAAACCTTATTGAATCTATTTTCTTCCTTTGTTATCATTGTGTTTTAATCCTGAATGTGGGAGAGACAGTCATTAAGTCAATAATTCCTGTAGAAATTGTATATAGATACAAAGCATTTATCCAATTAGATGTTTTGTTGCGCACAGCTAAATTGAACTGGGAGTAAGAAGCTCATTAACATGCATTGTATTCAGTCTCAGAACCCGGCATCTTTTATTTCTACCTGCAAGGCAACATGATCTTATTTTGCACCCTTTTTTCTCCCCCCCACCCCACCCCACATCTGCCATCTCGCCTTCCCCTGTGAATTCCCAAGTCAATTAAACAGGTTTTTATGATTACAGAAAAAAAACGGAGAAAAGCAACACGCATAGCAAGTCAGGACTGATAGTGTAATAAGAAAAACGGAATAATTGAACGCTCTTAACAGAAATTGAATTTGTAGAAGTCGACTCTGCTGGGGAGGGAGCGCACATGTTGCCCTCCACGTGCATTCCGGCGTTTGTGCATCAGTGCGACAGTAGGGGAGCGTTAATTAACACTTCTACCACGCTGGGATACCCCCCACCTATCTCTTTAAACACACAGACTCAAAAAAAGATGGAAGAATCCTGCCAGTAGAAATGCTGCCTTCATCGTTCTCCCTGCAGGGTTAACCTGACCACACACATCCACAGACCCCTCTCATCTCGACTCCTCCTTCTATTAGTCATGTGTTTATTTTTTCCTATGTGTCAATCTTCACTGCGTCACCTGTACTCCGAGGGATGCTAGTGTTCTTTGCGTGGGCTCTCCTGTCAGGAGGAAGGACGGGGAGGTGAGGAGAATCTGGCAGAACAGAACATTACATCCTGCAGAGTTACGTTAACACAATCGCCCATGCCAAGATGTATGAGAAGGTGTGAAGCTACCCGCTAAACGACGAGGTCACCTTTACAGCTGCCGGTCCAAAAAGCACATAGACCCACATGTACTAAACAAAGCTTTTTCTTTCTTTTTCCCTCCCTCAGAGCATAATGCTTCGGTGGCAGCCCCCGCCCGTCAGCGGCCAGAACGGGGAGATCACAGGCTACAAGATGCGATACAGGAAAGTATCCCGGAGGAGCGACGTAACCGAGATCACAGGAGGCACCCAGCTCTTCAAGCTCATTGAGGGTAATGGCCACTAACGCATTAGCAAAAATCAGTATGACCGCCAACTTCAGAATAGAACTACCGGCTGTATCTTTAACCTTAGATGTTATGTGTGAAGATGTAAAGCTTATTTTGTCACAGACCGATTGAGTGTCAGCTTTAGGACATTCCGTTCCCATCAACCATGCGCTGTTTTCTCAGTGAGGCTCTCCTGCAATGTGTGTTTCTATATTAAGTATTCTAAACACTTCAAATCTTTGAGTTTACAGCCAATGTCGGTCTAGATCTAGGGAAGATAGACAAACATTGTACAACCAGTACAACAAATACATTTAAACTGCTCGTAAATCCAAACTTGTGGGCACCTTTTACTTCAGTACGGATTATTTTTGGTTCTATCTTTCAGTAAACTCCAATCCTCCAGTGGTAAATTTGTCTAACATGTAGGTCTGAAGGTTTGGTGGTAAATCTTGAAAGCTGCTGAGTAGTACAGAGAGCATTGATAATATATCCTTCTTAAAGCTGCAGGAAATGTTGTTGTTTACATACTGAATGGATAAATGTGAAGTGAGAGGCCTGAGAAATGCAAAGAAAGAGAAGGTGAAAATCACTTGAAGTTTATCTACTGTATAAACCACATTTAACGTGCAACACAGTGTTGACCAAAGTGCTGGACTAGCTTAAAACACAATATAAAAGAACAGACGTGAGTAAAATGAAAAATAAAAACACAAAACATCAACTGTCATTAAAAGTCAACGCAGAGAGGTGGGTGTAAAGCAGTTATTTAAAAACTTTGAAGGGTCGGGGCAGTTCACTTTAACACACAGACTACTGCACAGTTTAGGAGCAGCCATCCCAAAGGATCCGTCACTTCTGAATTCTGAGCCTGGATCTTTGAACATCTAACATCGTCTGATACGTTGACCTGGATTCTCTGGCTTGAGCAGAAAGACAAGTGTGCAGTGCTAGCCCATTTAAAGTTTTATCTGATAAACATGTTAGAAAGGCAGTAATAAGATTACTAAAATGCTACTACACTGGTGTTATAACACTGCTCTTTAAAATACAGTTAAACTCAGAAGCCTGCTCTCCCTCCAAAATGTTTTTCAAGCTCTCCACTTCAATGGTTTTTATGCAAAGTGTGAACACAGCCGTCAACATAGTTGAAGCACTGTAAGGCATGTGTTCCCTTGACTCCAAACAAAGCTTGTCTGCTGCAGCTTTTTATTCCATTCAACGGACTGTCTCTAACTTTCCTGTGATGGATTGCGATGTGATGGTTGAGCATCATTTAAAAATGATGGATACTTTTTTTCTTTCTTAGGGAATACCAAATCCTAATGTTCCCTTTTGATGTTTTCCTGAATCTTACATTTAAACTTGAATCAGACTCTTTATCTCTGCTGGATGTATCTAATGTACTCTCAGCTACGTCTGCCATGCTGCAGTATTTAACGTCTTGATCTTCCGACTGAAAGCGCTTCTTAAGTTCTTGTTTGGTCTCAGTCTTTCTCTTAATTAAGTCAACATGTGAACTTCATCTGAACACTTTGAGATGGAGTTGCATGTCTTACTGTACCCTTGCATTACCCACTGATTCCACCAAAATATGCACAATATCACCAAAAGACACACAGCGATGGTTATTAATATTAGATGTTGTCTCAGCAACTTTCAAGTGGCCCGGCCTCACGCTGTGTGCTACATCAAAGAGAATATACACTTAAAAGTTGATATTTGAGAAGATTCTGGGGGGGTGAAACAGAGGCGTGTTTGTTGGTTCAAAAGCATTTAGAAGGAGATGTTGTAGCCTTGGAGGCACACATAGTTAGGCAGTCTTCAGAAGCTACCCCCAAGGGTGGCCCAGAATAGTGGGTACGTAGAAAAAAAAAAAAGACTACAGGATTAGTGCATGTAGAATGCAAATGGCACAATATGACGATGATGAAAATTTTTACAGCAATTTAAAACAGCAACACATCATTTGTCAGCAGGCGTTCCCCTCTTTTATGAATACCAAAGTCGGCACCCAGCAGTGAAACGGCTCGTTCTGGAGAAGACATAGCCTTCAAATATGAACGAAGCCAGACTCCCGAAAGTTTTTTTTTTTTTTTTTTTTAAACCTCTTATTATCACATTTCTTGCTAGCTGCTCTCATACTTTTTCCTCTAAACAAATACGTAATCAGTGGTGAAGTGTAAATCTCAATTACTCTCATGCTATTGGATGTAAAAGAAAAATAATTGCACACTTGAAACCTTCACTTGATCCTTCCCTCGAGGTAGAAGCACGGATTTGTTTTCCTTAATTGTGCAGGGAAGTATCAGGCAGCTGTTTAAGATATTTGTGCTTTCGAATATTATTTAAATATTTATTATGGCTGCAACTCAAACCCAAATCAGCCAAGAGCATCAGTAAACTGAATTTTTGAACGTGAGAGGCTCTATTGAGTGATTTTACTGCTGTTTAAGATTCAGATCAGCCACAGCTCAGTCTCTGTAGCTTTACATCTGAGCTGTGTGTGTCTGCTGTGTTAGGTCTGGAGCGTGGGACAGAATACTCCTTTCGGGTGTCGGCCATGACTGTGAACGGCACAGGACCTGCCACCGACTGGACCACAGCGGAGACGTTTGAGAGCGACCTGGATGGTAAAAACACCTGATTACTCAATCCATACAGAGCATTTTTTAAAGACAATTTAATGTTGTGGAAGTAGTGAAAGATTATCATAATCTAAAACCCAAAGAATCACACTTAATAGCAAGAGAGTATCAGTAGGTTTTTAAGTGCATCTTAAAAGCGTCAACAGATCTCAATGTTTCCCTGTGTTTCTTCTGCACCAGAATCCCGTGTACCCGACCAGCCCAGCTCTCTGCACGTCCGGCCGCTGGTCAACAGCATCGTGGTGAGCTGGACGCCGCCGGAGAACCAGGACATTGTGGTGCGAGGTTACTCCATCGGCTATGGCATCGGCAGTCCTCACGCTCAGACCATCAAAGTGGACTACAAGCAGCGCTACTTCACCATCGACAACCTCGGTAAGAACAAACCCGTTAGCTACTCTGTTTATCACTGTGTTTATCACTGTGTTTACAGTGCTTCTGTTTTAAATGGTTATTGGTGGGATAACTCGGATGTTTCCCGCCAACATAATCGCAAAGATAATCTGACTTGATGATTTAAATGCCACGACTGATGACATGTTGATGAGACCCCATGTGGTTGATGCAGGATTTCTTAAACTGTCAGCATTTAAAACATTAATCTTGTGCTCCTTCTTCTAAATATATTTTTTTTTTTTCTGACACTGAAACTGTACATTTGGGGCTTAAAATCCCCTCATTTTAATAACAAATTACCAAACACACACACACACACACACACACACACACACTCACAACGGGAAGCGATTCATCTGTACCTCATAGTGAGTATTTACAGAATTAATGAGTTCCTCTCCGCCACACGCCTCAGCCACTAATTGCACAGATTACCCTAATGGGGACACTATAATTAAAGGTCAAAAAAGGCTTAAATAAAACAAACTTGTGGTGGTGATTTTAACGCTTGCTGTCATCAAAAGAAAATGAAACATCAAAACAAAGGTCTGCCTCACTAAAAAGTTCTACATGAGTGCAGCTTCTCTGCATCGGATCTGTCCATTGAAACCAACCATTGAAAAACACTGACACCAATTATGTTCCACCCTGAAGTCATACATTTTGGAGATCAGAGAATTCTCTGAGGAAAGCTCAAGAAAGCATTGTTGTGATGGACCTTTTTTGGAGTAGGAATAGTGATTTGACTTTATTGGAAATCAAGCAAAACAATTTCAGAATGAGCTGAGAATAAATATTTTCTGTCCATTTTGATCCATATCGTAGGTCAAACTTTGTCTATATGTTTAATAAACGGTCAAATGTAAGCTGGCCACTTTAGTTCTGTTAGTATTATCATTATTATTATTTAGTGTCTATTTTGGTCTTTGGTCTATTTGAATTAATAATGGTGTCTTGTAAGCCTGTTTTGGGCAGAGCATGTTGTTTATGCATGACACAATAAAATCATCCTCTTCGTCATCATCATCATCGTCATGTACCGACATCACTAATCCTTCAGAAATCAAAGCTCTCGCAAAGGGCCGAGAGGGGGTTTATGGAAAATGGAAAACAAAATAATAATGAGGGAATAGAGACATTTTGGGGAGGAATAGTTGTCAAATATCTTCACGCACATAACTGACGCCTTCATTATAATCACAGTCGGAGGAGTGACGGTATTCAAATACTGACTCTGACTAATATCGCAATTATGAGTCAAGAGTCTCTGGAGTTTTGCCTTGATTAGATGGCTGCATTAATCTCTCTCTTTCTGCACTCTGTCATAACCTCTCTCTCTCTCTCTCTCTCTCTCTCTCTCTCTCTCTCTCTCTCTCTCTCTCTCTCTCTCTCTCTCTCTCTCAGACGCCAGCTCCCACTATGTGATCACACTGAAGGCCTACAATAACGTGGGCGAGGGGATTCCTGTGTATGAGAGCGCCATCACCAGACCTCAGTCAGGTACAAACTACACACATCTCAATCTCACATAAACACACTCACTATTTCACTGAAATATTCAATAGTTGTGTTTTCCTGTTAACCGTCTATTCTTCAGCTCGTACACAACAGAAGCAAACGCACAGAATGTATAATCGGACGCTCTCACATTGTTAGATTGTTGTCACTGAGCCAAGAAGAAGAAGAAAAGGACGTGGACTGACATTTGTCTTTGTCCCCTCTAACCTGGGTTCATTATCAGACAGAGTGTGTCTGGACTCCAAATTACCGAAGAGATACCGGGTCATCAGGGTGTCTCAGTGCTCTAATTAACTCTGTGCTTTATGGCCCCCAGTAGTTTTGAGCTTCTTTTTTAATCAGATATGCTTAAAGCCTTGAATTTTGCCCTTAGATTACAAGTTGTTCATCATATTAAAATTGTAGGTCAAAAGATTGCCATTTGCTGATGGAAGAGATTAACAACCGTGAAGAATGTCCTGAAATATAATTGAAGAATACTATTTACAGAAGGGTAGCTGCTTTGGGCTCTCTGTGCTACATTTTACACCGGGTGAACGATAGGCAAGGTAAATAAAAAAAAAAATCTTTTAGGCATTGGATTATTCGATATATTCTATCATAGCTTACATTTCTGCTTCCTGTTGTTAAACAAGTCCACAGGAGAGGCATTGGCTTCTTGATAAAGGTAATATTAGCTCGCTAAAGGCTATGTGTGCCAGCTAAAAGAAATGTTTGCTGTTAATAGGTTGAATGTTAACATTAGCTGTTCTGATTTAGTCTGTACCTGGTGAGTTATTTAACATGTTGTTTCTCCTTTTAATAAGGCCCTCTGTCTCTACAGATTTGTGTTATCTAGAGTGTTTTCTGTTGCTGATCAATGGTAACACATCGATGAAGTATGGCTGTATGACATTATAATAGTATTGCAGCTTCGCAGGCTGAGTCAAACATTATTTATCTATCAATATCTTGGCCTTCAGTTTAAGTTGGACTGAACTGTGATGGAGTTGAATCTGTCGTCTTTCATTCAGACAATACACAAATCTTTCAACCTTTGATCAGCATCTCATTTAACAATTAGAAGTAGAAGTTAAGTCTCAATGCCAGAGCCTGACAAATGATCTTTAAAATGTGAAACACTGCCAGCTAGACTGCGTGTCAGCTGAGTTCACTCAGTTTATGTGACAGTGTCAGAAGACAAACCAGCCCATGCTCCCTGGGGTTCGCAGAATGTGGGCTTCTCCCACCTCCTCTCCTCCTTCCATCCAGCCTCCCCGCTCAGCCTTGATCACCCTGGTTTGTCTCTGCCGCGGCACCAGTTCACTGTGAGCCGGGGAGGGTTGGGATGCTTGATGACATGAGTCACATCAACATGCTTCGAGGGGGGGGTGGCAGTCTCAGTGAATGCAAACACTTGCACACTGTCACACAGTACAGTTCTCTCTATGAAGCTCTCTCTTCCTCACATCCTCTCTCACGCACACTCACAGAGCGCTGCATGCATGTAGACCCCCCGTGGTGGCATTGGCAACCCTTCGTCAGATCCAAACTCTTCCTCTCAAAGCAGAACCAAAGCCCACCATCGTCTGCTGCTGAATCCTCTGGGGCGCGTTCCGTTCCTGCCAGTTTGTTCAAGTCGGGATTAAAAAGACGAGCTGACCTACATATTACTTATACTTTGGAAGAAATAAAAAACTTAGGATAAACTTGGTGAACTTAGGCAGGGGGAGTGCTAAGTTAAATATGCAATAATAAAATAACGTCTTCACTATGAATGTGACAAATAAAAGATTGCATTCCCTTCTGTTATAAAAAAGAAAATCTATCAAGGGCAAGTCAGCCTCTTTTCTTCAGTGCATTCTGTTGTAAACACTGAAGGCTGTATTCATCCAGGCTTGAGGAGAGAAAAGCAGCTTGCATGCCACTCCAAGAACCTCAGAGCCTCTCCAAAACCACATGAATGCTCGATCTTCTTCACACACAAACACACACCTTCACACACACACTCTCTGATTCAGTCTTGGGAATATAATGAGGGCAGCTCTGCACAAAGAGGTGTCAAATGGAGCGAGGCGGAGAGGAGAGGTCCAACAAGTGGTCAAGGAGGGGTGTCATTGCGGTTGACTGACCAAAGCTTCTTTTTTTTTTTTTCCTCTCCTCATCTCAACCAAACTAAGGACAGAAAAACCAGAAGCCACAAGGCCATCTTGAAGTGTTTAGCCCTCAGTGTGCTGACCAGCAGCTGCTTGTTTGAGCCCCTATTTTCCTCCCATAGACACACACACACACACACAGATTCTCACTGGGATTTGAGGTGTAATGGGCAGGTGACTTATACACAAACACACACACACACAGTCACTTTTATACCAACGGACTGTTAAGCGACAGGTTGTTGTTATGCAACTTACAAAAATACAATAAAATCAAGTGCTGGACTTAGCTCTGTATTATTAGTGAATAATATCACCTAATCTTAACAATCCATGACTTACTTGCTCAATAAATAGATATGTCAATGGTGAAATATTATTAGTAGCTTTAAAAATGATTCCATCTCTCTTGAGATGATTTTCTTCTTCTTATCCGTCTGTGTTAACGTTCAAAGTATTGTCAGAAACAGCCAGCAGGACTAAAACTCAACTGATTGTTTTAATTAAATGTATAAAGTGAGTTTATTTGTGTCTTTTTAACTATTTTAGCCCAAAACAAACTGTTATTTAGGACTTAAAATGGATTTCTTAATAAAATAAAAATACGTAGAAAAAATCTAGAAACACAATATGTTGACACATTCATTCATTTCTCCGTTGTGGGATGAACAAATATTTATTTTATCTATCTCATCTTTTTCTGAGACTTGAAGATTTTTATATCACTGACATTCACCAATGTCAAAACGCTATAATCAACACATTCAAACTTCAATGCCGCTTCATTTTCTTTTAGAATTATCATTTGATGTTAATGCTTACCTCCTTTAAGAATATTACGAAAAATGATTTTCAAAGTGGTAAAAAGTGTTTTACAAACGTGCACAGAATCGTGAAAGCATAAATATTCACAAAGAGATGATATAGGACATGAGTGTCAATTCCAGTCTAAAAGTCACAAACACAAAAAAAAACAAATGAGTGGGCTTTCAATCTGGATCCAGGAGAGCGGATTTTTGTTATGTGCTGTAAAAAAACATGCAACTTAGAAGCAACACAAAAGCAAATCAATTAAGTGGACGGAGGAGGACACAAGATAGTTTAGGATCATTAAAAATGTTACTTTACTCGAACTGTGAGGGACATTTGTCAGCCAAAAACTAGATCTAGGAAAGTGGGAAAGCTCTTTCACCTCTTCTCTTTCCTTGAGAGAAGCGAGCTCACACCTATCCATCCTCAGCAACCGTGGCCCTCTTCTCTTCTCTTCTCTGCCTGCAGGTTCTTTCTCTCAAAACCTTTGTGTACTGTCTACAGTTTTCAAGGACATAGTTCCCCTTGTCAGTATTACTTTGCAAAGATGTTGTGAAATGTTCCAGTGCATACGGTGTCCCTCTGTTTATCCACTTTGCATTCAAATGTTGTGAAAGGCTCCATGATGTAAACCTTTCTGAACACATTTCAGTGTTGCCACTTTCTGAAAAGATTGGGTCAACACTTGAATGTGAAAGTTTAAAAAGTTGGCTGGAGGGTTGTGGGTTTCTCTTCACACTCTATTCTTCCATTAGTCTTTTCTTGAATAGTGTATCTCCTGCTCCTCTCTCTTCAGTAGCTATAGAGCGATCAACACTGTACAGTAGCATCTATAGAAACCAGGTCTTTAGATTTGTCTTGTTGTAGAGGTCAGTGTCTGTTTTTCTAATAGAATTTCTCTCTTTTTCTCTTCATCTCTCCCAATCCCATCCTTGTTGCAATTATTTTTTTCTCCATTCCTTGTAATTGTCCCTCCTTTTTAACTCATTAACCTGATTTTCTCCTTGTCGTTCCTCCCTGCATCCTGTTTTTTTTGTATTCCTCCACGCTTCTCTTTGTTTTAATATGTGTCCATGCATGCTGGTTAACTGCCTCGTGCGCAGACACCATAGACCCCGATGTTGACCTGTACGAACTCTTCCATGCTCCATACACCCCAGTACCAGACCCCTCTCCCATGATGCCTCCCGTGGGTGTACAGGCCTCCGTGCTGAGCCACGACACCATCAAGGTAACCTGGGCTGACAACTCGCTACCCAAGAATCAGAAGATCACAGACAACCGGTTCTACACAGTGCGCTGGAAGACCAACATCCCTGCCAACACTAAAGTGAAGGTAAATTGATTATCTGATTTTTTTTTTTTCTTCAACCATGGAGCTACACTTAGAACATTTATGTTATCCTCATTTTGTCTTACTGTAAGCAGGATTCTCCAGTCTGATTTTAAAACGTTCTCTGCTTTCTTTGGTCTTTACATCAGCACTTTAAAGCTCAACAAACTCATTTTCAACTTGGTGAAATTCACTTAAGTACAGCTCACATCATGCTGATCGGCTTTTCATGACAACACACTTCAACACAGAAAACTGTCCACGTGTTTCAGTGCAGTGGGGCTTTGTGCGCCACTTCATATAAACATTAACCAGGAAGATGTATTGATGCTCCGAAAATAAGAGTTATGTCATTTCATGGTACAAAATAAGGATTCCAGCAGCAGCTCCAAAGCACAGTGGTAGATAAGGCCTGATATTTGTGACAGAGCAATAATCGATTTTCATTCAACTTTCAAAGCACTGCAAAGAGAAGAAGTCTCTCAGCAGTATTTCACTTTTCATAAACTATAGTGTTTTAGCCTTGTATCAAATATCTAAGACCGTATCACTGCAATACCTGCAGGCAGCTTGTCTAAATTTGAATCCGGTTGACTCAGACTCGAGCACTTGATTGATCAATAGTTAAGTCTTTGAAAAAATTAATAACTTTTCCAAAGGTCTTCAGTTGTTGAATATGTCTTATTCACAGGGATATAGAATTTAAAAAGGAGAAGTTTTTTGAGATTCAAGAGTTATGATACAGTCCATTCTTTGTTTATTAATTTCTGTTAATCAAGCCCATTTGTAGAGTTCATCTTGTAGTGAATTCATCGAGTGCAGCTTTGTAATGTTGCACAGATTTTCTGGGATCATTTGTCACACAGATTCAAATCCAGTGTCGCCGCGTGTGAAGTCGTGCGCATAAGTGAAATTTATGTAAAAGAGTATAAAATATTTGTTCTGAGTCACACTGAGATGAGTCTGAAACAAGGTGTTTGAGATTCATCTTTGGATTCTTGAATTCCTAATTCTCAATTACCGTTAGTTATCTCAGAATGCTGGATGCCAGTGTGGATGAGGTGTGTGTGTGCGTGCATGTGTGTGTATGAGTGTGTGTGTGTGTGTGTGTGTTCATGGTTGTATGCATGTGTGCAAACCTGTGACCGAGCAGAGCTCAGATAAAGGCCTGCGTTTACTGATAAATTATTCAACAAGGACAAGACAAACTGAGAAGTAGAAAAAGAGGGAGTCGATCTGACAGTGCATTCTTCACACAGACGTAGAAACACACACACACACACACACACACACACACACACACACACACACACACACTTGTAGTCATGTCTTGCTGCTATGAGTGGATGCTTAAATTGGTTAGATTCTCACACTGTGACAGTAATTAAAGACTTCCATGGGCTCATTATGTTTCTGTCCCATTAACCAAATTCAATATATTAACAAGTCTATTAGAGGGGTCTTTTCTGCTGTGTTTTTTTTTATCAGTGGAGTGTGGACTCTTCCTCAGACTTTACACAGGTACTGCTCTCCTTCAGGCCGGTCTAACCAGCAGTGATGCACCTGAACGCTGCTGTTCTTCACGTCTTCTTTCAGAGAGATTCTAGCCAGACAAGCTTTTACATTATTGAAGAGACAGCTGCTCTTGAACTGGCAGCGTGTTTTTAAACGGACAGTGTTTTCTTGTCCTATCCCACTGCCCTCTGTTTGACAGCCCCCTCCGGAGAACTTGCACATCGGTCGTAGCACGCAACAGTATAGAAAAGGCTGTTAGGGACCTGACTAACCTGACTCAATGTTGCTGCGACTAAGCAGGCTGAAACTTGCCTTCTTTCTCTCCCGACCATTTAAGGATGCAGATTTAAAGACAAGTGGTTAACTCGGGATCTGCTGACTGATTCAGTTTTTACCGCACTAGAAATGTCAAAAATATGCCAAGAGGTGTTGCATTTCGTGTATGATTGTGCTGTTTTGGGTTTTACAGCTTATAAATAATGGCTACATTCGTCTTACGGTTGCATTATATTTCCCTCCAATCACGACAGAGCATCACAAAATGCAAAAGGTTCTACTTCCGCTTAGTGGTCAGTGTGTGTAATGTCTCCTAAACTCTTTTCAGGTGTCTCTCTCTTTTTTTTTTAAAGGGATTCGCTGATTTTTAATTATATATTTATTTGTCCAGCCTGATTGAAAAGTTACTATGTTTAGTTTTTGGTTATTTTTCAGAATGATCTGACAATTTAGACTAAAATCTGAATCGGAGAGAAAAGGTTGTTATTATGTTGTAATTATAACATCAGCTTGTTCGTGGCTGACAAAATACTTTGAAGTCCCTGCAGACTGTATCTGTGTTTAGCTGCTATAATCTACCATCTGTGTGTGTGTGTGTGTGTGTGTGTGTGTGTGTGTGTGTGTGTGTGTGTTTACCTCTCTCTCCCCAGATGGCCAACACCACCAGCCTGAACCACATGGTGACGGGTCTAAAGCCCAACACGCTCTACGAGTTCTCCGTCATGGTGACCAAAGGCCGACGCACCAGCACATGGAGCATGACTGCGCAGGGAACCACCTTTGAGACCAGTAGGAGCACGCACACACACTCACTCACACACACACAAATAACACACTAAATATACATTCCGGTAATCATAAAGACACAAACCAACAACATGTCCAGTGTAACGACCCCTGGCTGGCTGGGAGTAACATGTCACTTTTTGCAGCCCAAATGGAAGGAGAGGACACGCCTAAGGAAAGTCATGCTGTCACTCATCAGTATAATATGACTGAAATAATATTAAGCAAGGTATTTATAAATGAATCCAGCATTAACCGAAAGAGCAATAAAAATAACCTGGAGGGAAATTGGTAATTGTTGAGAATAATTTCAGCACTACTCTGCTATTCTCTCAGTTGGAACTAACCCTGCGTCCATGCAGCATAGCCAATCATCATGATAAAAAATAATCCCTATAATGATGCACATTTCTGTATTTAAACAAATGATCTGTTTACACTTTTCTCCTGATTTGCAGACCCATGGCCTGGAGCCTGAGGAACAATAAACTAAGACGCAACTCTTTAATGGATTAAAAACCTATTTGTTCCAGTTTTGGTTCTTTATAACGTTACTGTTTAGCTTGATTAGGAATGATTTAACCTCTTTCTGAGCACTTAATTAAAGAGTGGATTTATCTCTAAAACTATCATTGATTGCAAAACTATTACCGTTACATATTGACTGAATGAGTGATAGAAATACACATAGAACCATCAGCGTTGACGCTTTAATCCATCAGCGCTCTGTTTGCAAAATGAGTATTTGCATAATCCTAATTCAGTGTCAAAGTTCTGAGACATACGTCATTGTCAATTTTAGTAGCCTGAGCTGTGAAATGTCATACAATAAACTAGATCTAAACTTTGTACCAATCTATTTATGAATGATTAAAATGAGATTTACTGGGCTTTAGGCATCAAGTGAAACCTTTTATTTATTCAACAGAGGAGAACAGACAGTTTGAATTTCTTCCCTGCCAGGGGTTTGTTTAGAAGTTGATGATATCTACAAAGTCAAAAACACACATTCACAAATGTATAAAAAAGGACATCAAGTCATCAATTTTTAGGACAGACATAGCAGAAACAAAATAGATGCAACACATTTACACCTAAAAAGCACCCAACACACACACACACACACACACACACACACACACACACATTGTTTGCTCATATCTTACTGGTAAGTTCACCATGTTGTTTGGATTCAGTACTGTACAAGAGGTCTGTCATCTTGACCTTTCATCTGAACTTTTCAACAACATGACAAATGTCCTGTCTCTAACCCCCCCCCCCCCACAGTCCCCAGCTCCTCCCCGAAAGACGTGACTGTGGTGAGCAAAGAGAACAAACCCCGCACCATCATTGTGAACTGGCAGCCTCCGTCTGAGGCCAATGGAAAGATCACAGGTGAGTCTCAAAGTCTCTCCAGTGCACTCTCACAGATAATGACAGGCTCAGGTTCAACTTACCTTTTGGACGTTACAATAAAATAAAGTGTTTCTGGACTGAGAAGTCAGATTTCTGTCTTGTTGTTCTTTAGTTTTATTTGCTACAAGTCGTCATAAAGCGTAACTGAAGGTGCTCTGCTAAGGATAACATATTAACCATCTCAAAAGAAATGTTCTTTACTGGCAATGTGATCATAGAGGATCATTCGTCTCCATCTGTAGTCCAAACTGCAGCCTCAAGCGCTACACTCAAAGAAGATGCAATGCAGTTAATTAAATAAATGAAGAATGTGATACATGACTCGGACTTGGAGAATAAACATGTGGCACAAAAACATGATTCTGTGCAGCCTTTAGAGCAATGATTTGTAACTGTTTGTCTTTTCCTCTGTTTTAGGCTACATCATCTATTACAGCACCGATGTAAATGCTGAAGTCCACGACTGGGTTATTGAGCCCGTCGTGGGAAACCGCCTGACTCATCAGATCCAGGAGCTGACTCTGGACACCACCTACTACTTCAAGATCCAGGCCAGAAATTCAAAGGGCATGGGCCCCATGTCTGAGGCTGTACACTTCCGCACTCCGAAGAGTAAGTTTGGAAGACAACGAGCTCAGTACACATTGGGGGAACAGTGCAACATAAAAGAAGAGCGGAGCGATATTTGATTATTCCCAATACAGTCATAGTTACAGATACATACTGTATGTTTAAAGGTTTTTATCAGAAACAGAAAAAGTCATAACCAGTTTGTAATGTGCAGAGAGCGTTCGAGATCAAGAGAGTTATCGTGACAGCGGCTGATTACCAGGAATGTAATGGGATGGATCGGATTAGTTTAGCGAGATTCTTGTGTTAATGTTGGATGATTCTGTAGCATTCACATCCACGCTGTATGTCCAGACTTTTAAAAACAAGTTCAAAGTTTATTTGTATTAGGCCTGCCTCATATGAGAAAAAAATATTATGTGATAATGATGTGAGATGCATATTAGCATGTTTACGTTAATCTGCTGTTCCTCATGTTTTACACAGTGTTAACATGTCCTACCTAATCCAAAATAAATCACAAAGATTTTTTTTTTTTATTCACCACTTAATTGAAACCAATTCATCTGCGTTTAGCTGTTAGCTCACTCTAGCTTTATCTGACTGCATCTCAGTTGTGTGATAGCATGGCCATCATGCCCAGGCCTCAGTCTGAAGGTTAGAGTGTACACATGCTGAGTAACAGAGCTTTGCTGGTTTACACACATTTTTCTTACATATTGCAATGAATTCAGACTTCAGTGATATTTTTATGGTGAATGTTCTTTTCGTGATCACGATAAATGTGATTAATGCAGCCCTGGTCCAAAAAGTGCAAATCCAAAAATATCTCTTAAGATTTGACTGCGTCACACTGCAAAGATCCTCAGACTTCAAAAGATATGTTTGTGAACACGCTGCATAGTCTAAGTATTTCATCATATTATATCGTTATATAAAACATACAAGCTATAATCAAAAATTGATTGTGTCCAACAATGCATGGCTCTCCGAGGATGTATTTTTCATCATCTTTTGAGCGAATCAGCTGATGTGCCGGAACCAATTTGGGATGAATGTTCTAGTTAACACTTCACACAAATTGTCCTGATGAAGTAGCTGTGAGAAACTCTCCTGAGAGCGCAGACAAGATGTTTCATAAGCCTTGTTGACTGGTTTAAAAGGCTGCTCAGCAAATCTACACCTCATTCTAATTGTAAAAAAGCTTTTTAGGTCCAGTCTTTATGTGCTGCATTCAAATATGTTTAAGTTTTCAGTATGTTTTTTAATTTACTTTTCTCTTTTAAAAAAGGTTGTTTTTTCGATCCTTTGCTTTTAATATCATCTTGGCTGTTTCTGTAGTACACTGTTGCTTTAGGTTTTTCTCACTATTTCACATTCTTCTAGTTTGGCTTCATTCTCTTTCCCCCTTATCTTCATCTTTGGCTTCATTTCCATCTTCTCTCAGCTTTACAGCTAACCTGTTTTTGCTTTTTATTGTGTCTTTCTCTCCCTGCTCTCCTTTGGCCTGTTAAGCTGAGTCCTCTGACAAAATGGCTAATGATCAAGGTAAACTCCCCCTCTACACTTTCACTGCTGACTCTGCAACTCGGTGTGTCCCTGTTTCTAAAGATTTTCAACTTCAGTCATGAAAACTTTGGGAAAGTCTTTTAGTGCTTGTAGAAGTGTTCAGATTGTGATGTCATGAATGTTTGACCAAGACGGAGTAAAAGTGACTAAAGTGAAGGCCTAAACACAGTAGTGACATATTTTCTCCTTTTGTATCAGCCTCAAATCTGCCACCGAAGCCTGGACCTTCAGGCAACCAACATCCTCAGGACCCTGGAACGGCAGTTGGTAAGATTTCACTCCGGCAATACAGCAACAACTAGAAGTATCATGATCTGATTCCAGCAAGTTTGTTTTGGAAAAGATTTTAAATGGTTCCATTGCCCTGACAGGGTGGCATTAAGTTACTTTTTGTTTTTTTTTTTTTTAGATGTTTTTTGGCTTTTTAGTTGACAGGGGACAGACTCAGAAAAAGGGATGAGAGAGTGGGGGATGACATGAATGGTCAAGTTTAGGACTAGAACTCAGGGCTGCAGCTTTAGAGGGCTATGACCTCTGTACATGGGGCGAGTGATTCAACCACATAGCGTAACATACACCCCACCAACAAATGTCCTTTTTTTTTAATGCTGTTTATAAATGCTTAATATCTAATCCAGTGTTTCTCCTCTCGAGGTAAATCAGGTGTGGGAGGAAACAGCGAAAATCACATCTTGGTCATTGTCATCATCATCTCAGTGGGGGCCTTCACCATCATCGTGGTGGTGGTTGGGGCCTTCCTGTGCACACGGCGCACCACGTCCCATCAGAAAAAGTAAGCAGCACAGTGAGATCTCATGTCCTTTTCTTTCCCTTGCTCATTCTGAAAAAAAACCCAACATTTTTTTACTGCTAATTTAACAGATTTTCAGCTCGGCTGCATCCTGGATCCCTTCTCTTTCCACCACTTTTGCCATCTTTTCTCTCTAATTGATGTTAGTATTTCACCATCTCGCTCCGTTCTCTCCTGCAGAAAACGTGCCGCTTCAAAGTCTTCAAACGGCTCCCACAAGTACAAGGGCAACTCGAAAGACCTGAAGCCTCCTGATCTTTGGATTCATCATGAGAGGCTGGAACTCAAGCCCATGGACAAGTCGCCGGATCCCAACCCTGTCATGACTGAAACGCCCATCCCCCGCACCTCGCAAGACATCACACCAGCTGACAGCGGCCTGGAGAGAGACCCTCACCTGCAGCAGCGACGCAACTCCTACCGTGGTCAGTCTTGCCCAAGAGAGGGAAGACTTAAAAGTTGATGTAATAAATAGGAAGGAGATCAAAGTGAAATTCACCCCTTCTGCTTGAGCTTACATGCATAATAACACTGAGCAAACTTCTTGAGTTTGGTTTGGAGACAGGGGAGAAGATGTTGGGGGTTTAACTAAATAGCACTAGTTTTAAACCAAGGAAATGTGCTAATACAGACAGGTTTGCTTTCAGGTGGATGACTGGATGTTCCTTCAAAATTCTGTTGGTGTTTCATTGTTTTTGCTGTTGTTTCTGTGATGATCATACAAAACATTTCATGCTTTTCATACATTGTTGTGTTACCCAACATGATCGCACACACTATGCAAACAATCCAACTTTCTGCAGATTTTGTAAATCTACTCGGTATCAGTTCATAAGAAGACTGCTGAGTTTAAAAATCACATTTAGGGATTTAACCAGAACCCTTTGATTTAAAATTGGTTAAGGATCCTGAAGAGGGATCAATTTAAAAAAACAAAAACAAAGAGTCGTTGCTCTTTCTGATTGGCTGGTTTCCACCGTACCTTTTAGGCCACGAATCAGAGGACAGCATGTCGACACTAGCAGGCCGGCGGGGGATGAGGCCTAAAATGATGATGCCTTTTGACGCACAGCCCCCTCAGCGTAAGTGTGTGTGTGTGTGTGTTTGTGATGTCATAACTGTCAGGATTTACAGATAGTGAGATCAATCAATACTTATGATTTACATTTAGAAATCAGAGCGTGAAGAACCTTTTTAAAGACACAACCAGTATAGAAATATATCTCATGCTAAAGACAACTCTTTCCAGATGATGTTTATTGGATACATTCTCAATTTGGTGAAACATACAGACAGAATAATCATGTGTGTTCATTACCAAAAAATGCATCAGAAACAAAACCTTCATCATTATTACAGCCGCTTAAACATCTCATCCCATGTGTGTGTTTGTGTGTATTTGTGTGTCTCTGTGTTCATTTCCATTCACAGCTGTGATTAGTGCTCATCCCATCCATTCCCTCGATAACCATCACCACCATTATCACATGGGCAGCCTGGCATCGCCGACACGCAGCTACCTCTACCACCAGGGCGGCGGGCACCCACGCCCGCACGCTTGTGCCACCCCCATCTCCCATCTAGACAGGGTGGACTCTGAAGGTGAGACACTGCCCCCTGCTGAACAACAGGAGAAGTACAGAGGAGTCAGGCCTGGTCCTGTTCATTCATCGATCTGTCATTTGCTCATTGACTCACGCGCAGACGCCATTCGCTACGCTCACATTCTCGTTATTTTAAAGTGTTACTAACCTTTCTCTTACCTCCCTGTGATTTAAGACTTTGAACTTCTCTTTGACTTTGCCACCGAGACAGACGGCAGATACACTCAAGATTTTTTTTTTTTACTTTTGGTGAAGTCCTTAGATCTGCTCATTGTCCCCCCCCTTGGTCTCCCCTCCTCACCCTCTCCAGAGTCGGTCAGGAACACTCCCAGTTCAGAGCCTGTCCCTCCAGCCACCGCCTCCTCCCAGGTCTCCTGCCCGTCGGAGATCATGGTCGACCCTGAGGGAAGCTACCATGGCTCCACCACCACAGAGGAGGAGCCCAGCTACTCAAGCCAACTGCCCCCCCACCGCTCGGCCCACCCGCACGCCCATGCACACCCACTCAAGAGCTTTGCTGTACCTGCAATCCCAGCGGGCAGCCATCCCACATATGAGTCGCCTGCTCTGCCCAGCACGCCACTGCTGGCTCAGACTGGTAAGAAGAAACACACACACACACACACACACACACACACACACACACACACACACACACACACACACACACACACACACACACACACACACACACACACACACACACACACACAGACACAGACACAGACACACACACAGACACACACACACACACACACACACACACACAGAGGGAAACTCAGGTCACATCAGTCTACAAGACAGCTTGCTGCTGTTCACACTGAGACTGAGCAAAACCGATCAATGATGATGTGATGAACGATCTTTAGTGACGGGAAAAACAACGGTATGAAATCCATAAAATCATGAATCTATTTTCAGATTGTTACAGACATGATCATGATTATGAATTTTAAACCTGCGTCATTTAGTTCATGATTGACTATTGATCCAGATTTTTGGTAAATGTTAGGATTACAAAACTGAGCACAAGTTTGTACAAATTTGATATTAAGACTCTTATTAAGTCACTTTTATTGACTTCATCTTCACTTTCTTGACACTAGCTGGAGATTGTCTGTATGCATGTCCATAAATTGCATGGAAGGCCATTTGTTGCCTTCACTGACCGTTGTGTTTGTGCTGCCTTCAGGGCCTCCTACTCACCCCCATGTTGTTAAAACAGCCTCTATTGGAACATTAGGAAGGACACGAACACCGATGATAGTCACTGTGCCCAACGCCCCCGATGTCCCAGAGACCAGCAAGATGTTGGAGGATGTCGACAGCGTGAGTATAGCACCCCCTACTGGCAGCTTGTAGTACTGCAGGATTCTTGATGGAAAATATTTAAAACTGTTTCAGTCTTGTGTTGCAAAATTATATCAATCACACACTCCTTCCAAATCCATGTCAGGTTTTCTTTGGGCACTGGATTATGAAGTTACTTTGAACTAGATGTTGGTGTTAACCACATTTTCTGTTTGTTCTTTCTCTCTTTTTTATTCCGTCCAACTTCAATTCTCACCATTTTTTTGTTGCGTTGTCGGCTGCATTTCGATCCATTTAACAACTTACCTTAACAAAACCCATGACTGGAATGACTTTATATAATTTACTCCATCTCCTAATCCTTAATGTTTGTCAACTTCTCTTTGGTTTTGGATGTTTTGCTTTGTCTGCTGCCTCTTTCTGTTGTTTCCATTTAAAGCCCTATTGACACAACCCCCCAAGCTCGCCTCACCCCACCCATACGACTCCCCCCTGTCCTCTGGAAGATCCCTGACTGACCCTCTCCTCCTCTCCTTTCCTCCCTTCTTTTCTCCTCCCTTCCTTCCCTTCCTTCCTCCTTCCAGGTGCTTGCCTCCCTCCCTCCCTGCCCCTCCCCCGCCCCCCGCAGTAACCCTGTTCCTCTCCCTCAGAGCTACGAGCCCGACGAGCTGACCGAGGAGATGGCCCACCTCGAGGGCCTGATGAAGGACCTGAACGCCATCACTACAGCGCCATGAGCACTCACACACACCTTTACACGCCGACACACCTTTTCTGTCACCAACATACACACATACAGAAAGACACACACTCTTACAGTCAAACAAACACATCCAAACATAAACCTAGGAGCCAGAGGCTGGCGGACACTAAATGGCATCTTGTGCCCAAATAACTCTCCTCTCCCTTTGCAGAGAAAAAAAAACAAACTCTAGACTGAAACTTAGGAACTTTTTTCGGCTTACCTTGCTCAGTCTCAGGAAGGAGATTGCCATGAGAGGAAAGAAAAAGTGACACGCTTCATCTTCTTGTGAAGAACCGTTCTCAGAGACAATGAACTTTTAAACATTGGTCGCTTTTATCCGGAAGATTGTGAATTTATTCCTCAGCAAAAATACGTTGCGGTAGGTTTTTTTTATTCGTTGAATGCTCACTCGAGACAGTTGATTCAATGTCAAGTCAAAAGGAGAAAGTCCAAAAAAAAAAAAAAAAAAAAAGCTGGTTTTTTGATGTTGGTGCTCATGCAGCGCAGTCTACACACAGTGTTTGTTTGATTAGTGTTTTCTTTGTGCATTTTGTATATCTATTGGGCCGTTTCAGTGAAGTGAACATTGGATTTCAGCCCCCTCCTACTTTACAAACCCACATTATTCATCAACCTGTTCTTTGTTTTCTCCCGATGTGTCGTATGTTGTGCCATGACTTTTTATTATTTTCTATGTTATTGTATTATTTTTTTACACACATATTCTTATAAACATGTACATATGTTGTGTGTTCGTTTTTTTTTTTTAAACTGCCTCATTGTTTTGATGTTTCCCATATTTCATTATTATTATTATTATTTGGGATGAAAATGGGAGAACAAGTAAATCCTGAAGCTGAAGAGGAGAGAGGCCCCGAAGTGTTTCTACAGTACATTCTTCTCTGGCGTTGTGTTGCCCGCTTTGTACATTAACACGTCTCCTTTTTCAGCCTTTAGTTTGTTGTGGGAGCTCCATTTTTGGCCTGTTGGTAAGACCATGTTGGCCTTACCAACATGTTTGTATGTTGGGACGATTCGACTCTCCGTGGATGTCGCTCCGAGTCATGCTGTCAAATCTCCTCACAGGTCAGGGGTACCCAGGACTCAGGGCGCTGACCCACACCCCTCCTTCGAAGAAAAAAAAAAAACTCACACGGCACCCAGTAAATCAATCAATCACCTGTAACAGACGAGTTATCTTTTATACGAGACGTTTGTTGGAATGTGTGTCGTTTCCAAAAACCAATATTTGGTTTCAGACGTCTGTACTGCTGAACCACGTGTGCATTTTTCCCTCGGTGGAGTGTGTTTGCTGTATTCATCAGATGCCCTGGTTCTTTTACAAATCTCACACGATGCAAAGATGTTGGCCTTTTGAATGGGACTCCCAGATTTTTTTTACATGGTAGTTTTTGTATGAAGAAGAAAAAAGAAAACAAGAAGCTTGTTCTGTACACAAATTCAATGTGAAAAAAAAAAGGAAAAAAATTCATCTCTAGTTTTTCATTACCCTCTTACCCAAAGAAATTTGTCATTTACAATCATAGTAATTTGCTCTACTTTTGTGAATACCATGTTTCTCGTTATGTACATCTTCATGAATGTCAATATAACTGTAAGAGTTTTAAATTATGGATACAAACAAGGAACTCGCTTTTTGGGAAAGAATCATTGAAAACAAACGCGGGAGAAAAAGGACCAGACTCCATTTGGGAAATAATCTATTGAGTTGTAAACAGTTGAACCTGTATTGCACTTTTTCACAATTTTTGAAAAGTACATTTCTTACATATCTTGTGTTTTAAATATCAGAAGCTGTTTGTGTAACGTAGTGTCCTAGGTAAGCAGCAGGCAGCTGGTCTTGTTTTTTATGGTTTTTTTTTCCTTTGTTTATGTTTTTTTTTTGCTTCAGAGATGATATGAATTTGAGCAGCTGAGTTGTTGAATTTGCAGCTCGTGATGAGGAATTCTGTTGTTGCTTGTTCATGTACAGAGCTTTTTTTTTTTTGCTTTCTGTAGAAAACAAAATCAGTGGCTTTTTAAAAAATGTTGAAAAAAAAAAGGTTTGAAAAAAACATGTTTTTTTATTGGTGCTCCTATACATTGTGTATACAAACTATTATGAATACTAACAAAGTAAAAACCTGTGCTCGTCTTCTTTTCATCAAACACCATAAGGATGCCCCCCACTGACAGTTTGATATTTCCTCATATTTTCAAAGTACAGAAATGGGTCAAATATTAAAAGTACGTACTGCTCATTGTGAGTAAGAAGCAGCTTGAGCTAAGATGATTGATGAAGTAAAACAAAACACTTGTCAGCAAGAATTTCAATGAATGGATTCATTATTTTACTCAGGTAGTGTGAAAATGGTCAAGACACTTCTTGCACTTCCACATCAGTGTTCTCTGTGACATTAAAGCTCCGGTGAGGAGTTTTTAGGCGCTCATGAACCAGACTGAAATCAGGACTGAAGTTTCTGTATCTGTACGACTGATCATCTCTTAAAAAAAAAAAAAAAAAAAACTTTTCTTCTTTTAAAGATATTATTTTGGCCTTTTTGCCTTTATTAGATGGGACAGCCGAAGAGAGACAGGAAATGTTGGAAGGAGAGAGTGGGGATGACATACAGCTAAGGGCCGAAGTTGGATTTGAACCCAAGGCCACTGCTCTGAGGGATATTCCTCTGTACATGGGGCACGTCATAACCACTAGGCTATCAGTGGCCCAAAGTAGTCATCTTTAATGCCTAATTAACCTCTGCATGTGTCAAATGAAGTAACAGCGCACTGCAGAATCAGCCTTTGTTTATATTTTCCATCGTGAATATTCAGTGAGTGATATGTTTAACTCTGAAAAGTCGGCAGGAGGGTATTTTTTTTGTCAGAGAACGCTACTTACAACTAGATAATTAAAAAGATTTCAAGGATGTCTTCTTTAGTTATGGCATAAAAAAACATGTTTTCTGAATCCATACACATTTACAGATGTCATTTTAAAACTTGTTTTTTAATATCAATATCACAAGATAGTTTGCCTGTTAACACAGGCTTTACCTGGTCAGGTGGGCTTCAGCTGGGCGTGGACTCTTTCAGCATGTTGCTGTTGGTCCTCTTGAAACTGAATTGGCCTTCTGGGATAAATAAAGTTTTCTTCTGAATCTGAATCTCTTGTGGGAAATTCAGAGTAATATAAATTGTCCAGAAGTCAGCATATTTTTGTGACAGTGGACATTGAGACTGGATGAGAGCCAAGTGGTGTACAGTCTACCCAGATGAGTCCTGACTGGTTTCCATTAAGTCATCACAGATAAACACAAGGTTGTTTCTTACACATAAAGTGTTTATCTGGACTGGAGTGCCAGGGTGTATAGATTTCAACCCTGACCAACTGTTGAAGGTAAAGATGTCAGATAGTGGCAAGCATGGCTTCTCTTTACGTTGTCACATTTTCTTTAGCACCAAAGCCTCTTTGTACACGCTCAAATATAAATCAATCAGTCAGTCAGTCAGTGACTGACCTACTCATAGCTTTCTCTTTTTCTTCAGCTTGGAGGTTTGGTGTTCTCCGCCAATCACTCATCCAGTTTGTCTGGATAAATTTGGCTTTTTGCCTGGATGGCTGTTAAAAGTGACTCACTCAGCATTTGGTGTCAGGTTGACATGACATTTTGAAAATGCTGACATGTACAATGTAAGATTCTAGGTGATTTTATTTCAGTTCAGACATCAATTTAATTTAAATTCATCTAATGCAGTGGATCTGCCTTTTTCAATCACTTCACCTCAGTGTTGTGGCAGGAAACTTTGGAGGAAATGTTTCTAGACTTAGGGGAAGCTACATGATTATCCCGTCACATCAGGTGAGTTGCAAGGAAAGTAACTCAACTTGTAAATGGAGTTAAAATAAAAGTTTAGGTATATAAGAAAATACAATACAAGACACTTCTGTCCAAAGCCCCTAGCCTGCACCTGAGAGTTAAATACAATTAATAATTGTCAACAAAGAAAAGATTAAAAAAAATATTCTTGATCTGCATCCTTTAATAATATATATATATATTTTTAAATGTTATTTAGACTATACAGCACAAAAACTTAAATCTATGTTCTTAAGATGGTTTAGCAACATTTACGACTGTGTAAAGACTGGGATGGTGGACAAATCAAAAATAGGCAATGTGGGAAATAACATGTTCATGTAAATGGTGTTTCAATTTAGGAAATTGTAATTGTTTCAAATCCTGTACCACAAAACAGGAATGAATTCCGCTTATTATCTTTTATGTATGTATTTTTAATATGACTAAAGGTCGTCAAACTTAAATGAATCAGACTTTGAAGGCAGACCGGCAGGTGTCGCTGCAGCCGTCCGATCTCAACTTCAACTTCCCAGCAACTTCCGCCTACGTCATTCCCTCTCACACACAACACGGAATATGGCGGCCAGCTCAGATCGGAGTCCTCCTCCTTTCCCTGCCTCAGAGGAGCCCGGCGCTGGACCGCTTGACATGGCAGACGGAGACAGCGACGAGGGAGAGGACATCTTCGTCAATAAGGTACGTTTTAAGTTCAAATGTGAGTAATTATGACAGGTGTGCGAAGGTTTTGACTGCATTCACGATAAGAGAGTGGAGCCACTTGCTCAGCCTCTTTTATCTCATCTGACCTGCATTCATGGCATCCAAAACAACAGAGCTCCTGACAAAGAGGACACAAACTGTATGGTTTTGTATGAAAATATGAACGAAACTGATTCACAAATGTAGGAGAAGTTAGTAAACTGGGCGTGTTTGACTCCCAGACACGAAGTTGTATCTTTTGTTTGTGTTTCCTCTGCAGATCTGCTTCTTCACTGTAGATTTTAAAATGTTTGCTTGTCTCTGTCATTCCTCATGAAGACATTTGAGGTGGTCTTGGCTGAAAGTACAACTCAGATGACCACCCTCTCAGTTGTGCTTATCTACATTGAACAGGAGGGAGTGTTAAGATAAGAAGAAGCACTTACTTAAAAAAAACAAGTAAAAAAAAGACCTCAAAATAAAAGGGGAAAAGAACAGAAGAAAACTGTCCTCTGTGACTGTTACTACAATGTGATTCATTCTTAGATGATTATTGTTAATGCATATCAAGTCATATTTTCATAATGTAATGTCAACTAGTCCACTGACTCTTTGGTAAATTCTGAAAATAAACTTTACCAGAGCTCAAAGTGACATTTTCACGTCTACACAAACACATAAACTCTTACATTTTCAGAAGCAGGGTTTTTTTTTTTAAATTAAATTAAATTAATTATTTCTATTAACCCTCCATTAAGATGCATACGTTGGTCAAAAATTGCCGGCTGAGGTTGTTTTCTTTCTGGTGTTTAAAATGTGGAGAACTCAAAAATAATTCAAACATGAAATCCTCTGGTGCAGATCAAAATATAAATCTGACGTACGTTGCATAAATACATTGATTCCAAAAGGGGCATTTTTGGCCTTGTTGTTGAAGAGTGTAGGGTCTAATCTCTGGTGACTCTAAGGGTTAAGAAATGACTTGACAATGATAAAAAAAAAAAAAAAATGTATTCATCAGTTTATCAAGTTTTAGCTAAAGCTTTATATATGTAGTTGGTTTGTTTTATTTGTTGCATTTTATACAAGTTCTTCCTCTAATTTAATAGCAAAACTTAAATGTTGTAAAGTAAATTAAGCATGCATCAAATTCTCTCAGAAGTTCAGTACTGGAGAAAATGTACATGGTTACATTCCTCCACTGCATGTCTGATATGCATACTATCACTCGACAAGATAAGCACTCTGTCTGTGTGTCTGTGGCTCATTAAAGCAACTTGTCCTTCTCCGTCTGCAGAGTAACCCTGTGGCTGTGAGTCGAGGAGTTTCCCAGCCGGACGGTGCTGCTGAAGAGCCTTCAGACATTTTCAGTGAGGAGAAGGTCGGCGGCACAGCAGCCAAATCCAACGGCGTTCACTCGGATGACGACAGTGACCTGTTTGCTGGTTTGTAGGCTTTTTCTCATTCTCCATGGAGTGCCAGCAGTGTCTTGTGAGATGCTTTATTTTAAGCCACGGTCATGTTTTTAATGCAGATCCTAAAGGGCCATTCCACTGATTTTACACATGTGATTCCCTTTAGTGCTCATGAGGCTAATCAGTTAATTTACTAATGGTTTTAACTCTAGCTGGGAGACTGCACATGTACAGCAGTAAGCCTGTCTTACAGACTTTGCCTGTTAATGTGAGCGTTCACTTGGCAGGATTGATTTGACTTATTAGAAATGTAGAATCCAACTTTTCCAGAGCTTGTACCCAAACTCAAAAGTAAAGTAATTGCATCCCTCGCATGGATTTTTAAATCTGTCAGTGTAAAATGAAACTAATCAGTATTCCTCCTCACTGTCCCTACACTGTTAGATCCATCTGGAGTTAATGAAAGCATCTGTACTCTAAGTTGTTAACTTATGTGTTAGCATAGTTCAAATGTAAAGTTCTTGTTCTAATAAAAGAAGACACACAGTAAGTGTTGTTATTATCACAGACTGTATGAAACATTGGCTTAGTCTCAGTGATGCAACACCTCTGGTTGTGAGGTGTTATGAAGCCAGACGATGGCGGTCGCCATGTTTGAAATGCTACGCTAACTTAGCTTTTGATCAATCTGGAAACGGGGAAAGAAGTGGAGGCGGGCCTTGAGCCTCCTGGCAAATAGCTACAACACACTTGCCTGTCAGTCAACTCAACAACACCCCTGATTATGCTGCTAGTATCAATAATTATATATGAATAACTCGTATGGGCTTAATAAAACAAAACAGATGAGTTAGTAAAAATTCACAATGTGTCCCAACAAAGAAATTAGCATTTAATACCAAATGCATTTTTTTTTTACCAGCTGTAAACATGTTTATTTATGCTGTAAAAATGAGCATTTTGATATGGGCTTTCATTGGGATTCATTTGGAGACTCAAGGAATTGCTGTTTTTTTGCACAGCTGATATGTTCAATGAAGTTAGGGTACAAATTACACTTATAACTAAAATGTAAAATAATACTGAAACATTTATAATATTAAATATACAATGACAAACCTGCACTGGTTTGCTCCTAGCCCCCTACAATAAAGCTTTTCTACTGTGACTTACCAAAGCATTCCCATGTTCTGGGTGAATCAGGTGATATTGTTTGACCTAAGGTTTCGCTGTGTGATCGTGTCTGACATACTCTAAAGTCGTCTTTTCTTTTTGGATCAAGACATCAAAAGCCCTTTTCTTTCCCCAGAGGCCCACACAGAGCCGAGCACAGACAAAGCCGCCAGCTCTGCTCGTAAGGAGCTCTCACCCTCCTCGTTCACTCAGAGCCCTGCAGCGCTGCAGCCCACCTCTTTGGAGCAGGTAGGGGCCATGACAGAGCCGGAACTTTCTAACTTGGAAACAATTGCACATTGCTTTTGCACCGCCAACACTTTAATCTACATTTCAAGTCTTTTGTTGTCCTTGTTGATAACAGTTGGAGGAGGATGAGGCCAAGGACAGTTTTGATGTGGATGTTGCTGTCACAAACCCAGAGAAAGTCGGTCAGTGTCTTTTTGTATTTATACTGTTAGTTTGTAAAATGAAGATGCAGCTTTTTTCTTTTCCATGTATTCAATAAGTTAATATTTTAAAAAAAGTCTGAATAAATTGTTTTAGATCATTTTCTGTAAATGTAGCTACAGAGACATTTTATGCATGACCACATTTTCTATCTTCACATGTCTCCCTGTTTCTGTCTTTTTAGGAGATGGCATGAATGCATACATGGCCTACAAAGTATCAACCAGGGTCAGTTGTAAAGCTTGATTCTTTTTCATGTATTATATTCTTTATTGTATTATTTTTTAGCTTTTTTTATATGGCTTTGAAAACGTCCAACTTTTCACTATATTGGGTTCTTAAAGTTCTGTGTCTTTCTTGTGTTGTTGTCTCTACTTCCAGACATCCTTGGCCATGTTCAGGAGTAAAGTCTTCTCTGTGAGGAGACGTTACAGTGACTTCCTGGGTTTATATGAGAAGCTGTCCGTCAAGCAGTCTCTCCATGGCTGCATCATCCCTCCACCACCTGAGAAAAGTGTTGTAGGTGGGTCCTCGTGTGTTGGTCCTGTGTTGGTCCTATGTCTCCTTTTCTTGTCTCCATTTGGTGACTGTTGTTTGGCTCCACAGGAATGACCAAAGTGAAGGTGGGAATGGACGACCCGTCATCTGTAGAGTTTCTGGAGAGAAGACGAGCAGCTTTGGAGAGGCAAGACCCCATTCATGTTTAAACAATGAAATTATTCGGCGATGATTAGTAGTGCTCATATTGGGCAGGGTCACTCTGCATCATCATGGAGGACAGCTTTAGGACTCGTAAGCATGAATCATCAATATTCACGAAGCCATCATATAACTGTGGCAGAAACTGTTTGTGGTCATGATCATCAGTTATTTCATAGACAGTGGAAAAAAAAAATATTTATACATGAAACAAAAATACTGAGGGAACATAACAGAAGTATAGGTAGTGCAGGTTAGTTGACTTTGGACTTAAGAGTTTGAATTTCGATGCAGGAGTCTTGATGTAATTCAAACACTGAAGACATGTTTAACATGTTCAGAGGGAAGGCCTCGCAATCCAAAATAGAAAAAGATATGTATGACAGATATTTTCTCCCAAAGGTCTCATTAACCGTTTTTCTCCTCATGGATATATTTTAGAGATTAAATTAACTTCTTATTCACTTTGTCACTCCATGTTTTGGTTGTAGGTATCTTCAGAGAATCGTGTCTCATCCAATGTTACTGCAGGATCCCGATGTCCGTGAGTTCTTGGAGAGAGATGATGTGAGTATTGGAAGATTTGAAAGATTTTCTAAAAAAAACAAGCTGTTTTAAAACTATATACCATTTAAAGAATAAGATGAAGCTACCTGTCTAAAGATGAGTACTTAGTTGATGTGTTTTTGTTTGTGTTTTATTTCCAGCTTCCCCGAGCGGTGAACACTCAGGCTCTGAGTGGAGCTGGCTTCCTCAAAATGATCAATAAGGCATCAGACGCTGTCAACAAGATGACTATCAAGATGAATGAGTCTGACACTGTAAGGGAACTCTGGATGGAGTGTGACCTCAATGTCGAGATACAATCTAAAATAATGTGATCAAATGGGAAAACTTGGATAGTTAATGAAACTCTGAATAATCAGAGAAGGCTGCGGAACATTTAAACACGATGAAATCAATATCCACAATGTGCTACAAGAATTAAAGCTTGAAACACAACAACAACAAGTACATCTAGATGTTTTAAAACTATTTTGTTGTGTTCCTATTTTTCCAATTATTAAACACTTACATAGAAGATAACTTAATCTCATAAGTAAAATATTTGAAAGTTTTGAGTGGCTACAGACATTTTATTTAGTAAATACTAGGTGGCCATGAGGTGTAAAAAAAAAATGTAACTGCAGAGAGAGTCAAGCAGCTGGGCTTAATTTAGGCAGATTTGCACCAAGCCAAGGACGTAGTTTAGGATACCTTTATTAGAGCAGGACGTATTATATAAAAACAGCTTTTCATATTTAAATGAAATGTATGTAAATGTATTGTGATATTGTAACTGCCTATTTTAATATTATAGCAAGACAAAAGTGCATTCCATTAAAGGGCCCACTCACACTAGGCAATCCATACTGGGCCAAAACACGCTTAACCACTAAAGTCCAGTTCGTTTGACTAGTGAGTGCGCCGATCTGTGCTCAAGCATGGTACAATTTCTTGGCCCTTGCACGCTTGGAAGAAGTGTGCTTCAGCCCGGCACAACGTTGACAGTCTTCATTATCGAGAAATACCGAAGTGTTCTGGCTGTATCTGACTAAATTGACTCAAATAAGGCACAAAGTCACTAAAGTTGCTGTCATGTTCTCTGTGTTGTCCTCTGATGTGCGGACGCTTATGTGACTGCACTTCCCTTTTTTATTATTTTTTTTATTTTTAGTCTGGCTATATTGTAAACTAATCACGCTTGATCATGTTAAGCCATGTATGTGTCCTATTGTGCTTTTTTGCAACGTTATGTACAAGAGGTAAGCGTGCTCAGGCCCGGTTAGTACTGGAGCAGTGTGAGTGCAGGCCAGTGGGGGAATGGGGAGGGGGGACAATATCACTCTTCAGCTCGGTACAGGACAACTGAGCTTAGTGTGAGTACCTCCTAAGTTATGAAGAGGTTGATTAGATGTGTTTTTGTTTCTCAGTGGTTTGAGGACAAGTTTCAGGAGGTGGAGAACGAGGAGCAGCAGTTGAGGAAGCTTCATGCCTTGGTCGACTCCCTCGTCAATCACAGGAAGGGTGAGCTTCTTCTGCCTTTCTTGACTTTACGTCTTCTGCTTATTCAACCGAGGAAACAGAAGACAACAGTCCAGCTGCTAGCTTATTTCAAACTTGGAAGAGTCAATACATTCTCTGTTTCCTCCCTCATAACCAGAGCTGTGTGGGAACACAGCAGTGTTTGCCAAAAGTATGGCCATGTTGGGAAACTCTGAGGACAACACAGCCCTGTCTCGGGCACTGTCCCAGCTGGCAGAGGTGGAGGACAAGATGGAGCAGCTGCATCAGGAGCAGGCATCCAGTGACTTCTTCATCTTTGAAGAGATGCTGGCCGACTACATCCGCCTGCTGGGTGCTATGAGGGTAAGCTCACAGCAGCAGGAGGGTCGATAAAGTCATGGAGGAAGTAAATAAGGAACAAATTGTGATTTTAAATTTCTGGGGGGAAAAGCTGATTTGAAGCTTTGTCCATCCTCTGCATGATTCTTCTTTCTTCTTCTTTCCTCGACACAAACAGTGTTATGCACACATACCAGTCTTTTTAAATAACAACTTCCTTACTCACTACACCAGGATACAAGACTCTTAAGTTAACACCATAAGTTGTTTCCTCCTTTCTAGATCCTTGCTTGTGTTGTATTAACTTACTGTATGTCTCTTTGGATAAAAGCGTCTGCATGATGAATTTTAAAATTACGGCTATGTTCCAAAAACGTTCTTAGACATTGTTACGTTCCCCGTAGTTCTAGGGGATGCGGGGAACAACTGGCAAGCACACTGAAGAAAAAAGAACTGAAAGTAACTGTGTTAAAGGCAGTGCCCCCCCCCCTTCGAAGGTCAAGTTAAAAAAAAAAAAAAAAAAAAATTGTGCCTTTATTGTAGGGATAGAATAGTGGATAGAGTCGGAAATCAGGGAAAGAAGTCATTTAAGGATACCTTTCCGATAGAAAAGGACAGCTGTCATCAAAAGTAACCCATGAACACCAAGATTCCTTCAAGTGTTTGTGTTGTCGTGTCGCCATGTCAGCATGTCCCCACCCCCCCAACGCTGTAAACCTAGGGGAAACACTGAAAGGGTTTAGTTAATCAGGGCATTTTCTTACCGTCTGTGTTAGAATCTATTAAATGAAAAATATTTTTCAACAAAGTGTTCAATGCGATCCAAAGATGTGAGGGTGATTGGTTTGCAAATGTTTTTCAACAATCCCGTCATTAAATATCTGCCTCAGTGTCCAGAAACCACCTGAAGATGGTATTAAATAACTTTTTAATAATATAAATTACATTTGTTTACAGTCACAGTTTTATTGCAAGCATGCCACCTTTTCTCTGTTTGGTATGTGGACTGATGTGTGACTAAATCAGTCCTATAATCTAACATTGATGTGCACAGGGGTGCTTTGACCAGCGCATGCGGGCGTGGCAGCGATGGCAGGAGGCTCAGAGCACTCTCCAGAAGAAGAGAGAGGCTGAGGCCAAGCTGCTGTGGGCCAATAAGCCCGACAAACTGCAGCAGGCCAAAGAAGAGATCTCTGAGGTAACAGATGCTAAACACCTTCAGTCTTCTATTGTAGAGGATTCATAGAGGTTTCTCATTCAAACATCTTGATGTTGCTCACAGGTAAAATGGTCAGCTACTTGTTAAAGGAGAGGATATGTATGTGGGTTTATTATCTGTTTAATTGTGTTGTTTCTGGAGTAAAATCTTCAGTGACCAGAAGAGACAAAAATATTCTATTAAGACAACAAGGAAGAAATAAGAAAGTGTTTATGTCCTTTATCTGGATTATATCTTATTCAATGATTTCACTATTATTTTTATGAGCCAGAAATTGTTCCTGTTTTTCTTTATTAAATGTCGATGGAGTTTTGCTTTTCATCAGATAAAGTAGTTACTTTTAGAATTCATCGAGATCTGTGCAAGGCTGTTTCTCCCCCCACACAATTGTCTGACCTCTTTGGGTGGGGGGCTTAAAAAAAAAAAAAAAAAAAAAAAAAAAAAGGATCAGAAAATAGACTTCATTTGAGAGGATAATGGATAGAGCAGGAAATTGGGAGAGAGAGTGGGCTGGGGGTCAGACTTGAACCCGAGGTCATTCATGACATAGCTTCTATTCTGTTGTTTTAGAGATAAAAGTCATGTTTTCAGATTTCACTATCACAGCCCGGAAAAGTATGTGGTTGTTGTCGTTTTTTTAAACATTTTTTCAATGTTTTTTCTTTTCCTCCTCGTGTGTGTTTAGTGGGAGGGAAGGGTCACCCAGTATGAGAGAGATTTCGACAGGATTGGCATGACTGTACGCAAGGAGGTTCTCAGGTTTGAGGTATGTTCATTCTTTTTATAAAGGCTTAAAAATCTTTTGTAAAAGCAAAATGTCTTTTCATAACTCTGGAACACGTGGATTTAAAATGTTCTCTGATATTGATTGTCAGATGAAGACTCTAATGTCAATGTGACAACTTGTCACTCTTGTAAATGAGATTCTTAATCTCAATGAGGTTCTCCTGGTTAAATAAATGTAATAATCACTGTTTTCATTTGAACCTTTGGACATGTTTGGCTAAACCATTAGAACCTGTGGATTAATCCACATTAATACCTATTGCACATATTTTAATGGAGTTAAGGTGATGGTAGTCAGTGATTGCACTGCACTCTCTCTAAAAGGAGGAAGCAGACTATCAACATGTCTGTCCTGCTGCTGCTGTTATCTTCATGTCTGCAGGGATATGATGAAGGGAAGAACAAACCTTTCAAACTGTCCTGCTGCTGTGGACAAACGTATAAAAGGCAAATCAGTCATAAATGAATTCTGATCTACAGCCGCTCCTGCTTTTACCACATTAGTATTACGTTTTTGGATGTTGGTTCAAATGAATTAGACAGGCTGATATGTGTTAAGTGTCATTTTTATCAGAATAACAAACATCATTATGTTGTTCTTGCATACTTACTTTGAGTATCCAGTTATTTTCAGTGTTGACAAAATCCCCAGTTTTGCTGCAGGCGATGGTTTGAGACGTCTGTTCTGAGCACACAGAACAATTTTACAACAATTTTCAACTGCTCACTCCCTTTACTCATTGAGCCTCACAACTGTATGTGCCTCCTCAAGCCTGTTCACTGTACGTTAAGCACTCGACACTTAAACGAAAAGCATAGTGACCTTCAAGCTCAGAAAACAAAGTTCTCAAACCTTGACATTTGCATTGCCTCTAAGTAGAGCCTGAAGTCTTTATCGGTTACTTATTTATCAGACGGATGATTCTTTCTCCTGTTTATGGGCACATTAATTACCTCTTTTATTTATTCTCTCTTTTTCAGTTATGGAAAATTATTTTCATGTTTTATAAATAATCTATTCGAACATTCTTTTTTGTTTTGGATTAGTCCCACATTAAAAGATTTGCTGGAGGTTTGACCTTATAAGACTATTTATCCTCTCTGTGGACTGAGGGTGAAATTCTGCCAGAAATTCCTTCAGTCCTCCTTAATATTGGCAATGAGCTTGAAACACAGCAACACTTTTGTCTTTTCAGAAAGAAAAATCCAAGGACTTCAAGAGCCAGATAATCAAATATTTGGAGGCAATGATGCAGTCTCAACAACGGGTAAGCACTGTTGTTGTTATTTGTTTAGTATTCATTAAAACACATTGAATGTAAATTATCACAACATGCTTTAACTGGTTTGTTTTTCTTCCTTTCTCCAGCTTACAAAGTTTTGGGAGGCATTCCTGCCTGAGGCGAAGGCTATAGCTTAATGAAGAGGGAGACTTTTTGTAACGACCCCGACTGCCTTTTTTGAACACTTTACCTCTTTACCAGAACCGAGAGGACAATTTTCAAACACACAACAAACATCCATCCATTTTTGTCTCTTTTTATTCATAGTGTATTCTCTTAACTTGTACAGTTCTTTGATAAAATAACCCGCAGCAAAAACACAACATTACTTCAGTGTTCTTCTTAGTATTCTTGACTTAAAGATGGTTTAAAGCAGGAATCCAACAGGGGTTAACCCGCTCCTGCTATATAAACAAAGGCCCACTGTTTGTCTATAATTGAGACATCGATATATACAAGTTGTTTTATTTGTTGCTTATACTAACACTGAGGTACTGCCCTAGAGTAACATTGTCTATAGTTTACATTAGAAGATAGACGTATGTAAATCATTCCAGCCCCTAACAGCTCATGTTGATTGATGCATGACGGATGATTATTTTGAAGCACTAAACTGTATTTCACAGTTAAAAAAAAAAAAAGAAGCTGTTTGCTTTGGTAAGAAACCACTATTGATGACTGAGCTCATTTACCAGGAGTATTAGCACATTGTAACAGTATATAATACGAAGCATTACAGATCCTATAAGTCATTAAAATTTAGATTTGACAAGCTTAAGGTCTTGTCAGAGGTGTTACAGACGATAACAGAAATATGATGTTACAGTGAGTGCAGGCTGAGAAATGAAATCACTCATTTGTATTTTCTACAACGATGTATTCCTTAGAATAATGTTTATTATATGAACCCATTTCTTCCGTGTAAACACTTTGAAGAAACTCTTGTGTCTGTCCAAATGAGGCCAAAGGAACTCATTGGGAAGTGCTGCAGAGATTGTTAACTGCCCCTGTGTATGACTGTTGATGTAAACACATGTACAGTACTTGAATGGAGTCGTACAAACACTGATTGAAATTATAAGTAGCCTTTTTTTTTAATAACATTGATTTGAAGATGACAGAAAGGCACAGACATTCAAGTGATAAGGTCCCTTTTCTTATTCTGCATTTGTAAGTGTAGTTTTTCTGTCATGTCATACTTCTGTAAGAATGTGCTTTATTTTTGTAACCACTTTGCATTGGCACACACGTTTCCCTGGAAATGCTGTACAGGTAGATGTCAAAAAAATAAATATGATTGGTTAAGCTTTGGACTCTGTTCAAACTTGTTTGTTGTGTTTCGTTGAATGAACAATTTCAATTCAGTAACATGGATGAATCATAAAATAACAGATCTACGTGCTTCATAATTGATAAAGGCCTTCTTGTAGTCAATTTGTGTCTTTAAGAAATGTTGTTCACAACTTAAAGTTCTGCTGTTGGTTTGAAACTAATCACTTCCTGTTGTAGATAAGATGTGCAAGTCCCAAAACTTAAAACAGCGAATCCACTTTTTATACCAAAAGTCTTGTGCCCTATTAACAGAAATATAAGAATTGTGACCTGAAAGCAGCGCTCCTCTTGTGTCAAACATTTTAATGAATCGAAATCTGCAGGTCGACTACTCTATTGTCATCCTTAAATAGGAATCTTGAGAAAAGACATTCTTAACTGTCCTGTTCAATAACTTTAAACAAGAGAACTGTAGTAAAATGAGATTAGAAAAGCTCAGAAATTAGAGCTGTGGAGGGAAATATTTCAAAAATATAAAGTATATTAATTTAGTGTTTAGTGTTCAAAGACACATTAGGCTACATAAAACTGAGCTTTTATGGTGGTGTTACATGTATAGTGTTATGCACACAACCATCATGGATTTGCCAGCCAAATACAAAAAAAAAACTACAATCTAAGTTTTCAAACATTTAATTTATTTTAATGGACTACTGATGTCTCAAAGACCACTATAGCACTACAGGGCGGTAAGAGGGCTGACGCTCATCACAATTTTGAGATACAGACCAGCATGCAGGTGAGCTTTAGTTTTTCTTTTAAAATCGTTAAAAATAGCAAAAACCTTTGCACATATCTGGAACAAACGCCCAGAAAACTGCTGCTCTGCTGAAACTGTCAGCTCTTTTAAATCGAGGTTGAAGACTCACCTGTTTACAGCTGCCTTTCATTGAACAATTTTAATATGATTTTAAACTGAACTGTAAATTTTACGCTTATTATAATACTCTTTTTATATTTTTATTTTTTATTAATTTTGGTTGAATGCTTTTTATTTTATTTGAACATATTTTCAGATTTATGATTGTTAGTGATTTTTAAATTGTTTTTAATTTTAATGTTTCTTTTTTCCTCTGTCATGATGTTTTTGACGTCTCGTGTGAAGCACTTTGAATTGCCTTGTTGTTGAAATGTGCTATATTAAAAATAAACTTGCCTTGCACATCAATTTCATAAGACAGGTGCGTCGGAGAGCAATAATGTGTCCATCACAATCTTAAAGGTAAACTCCTGCACACCTGTCTAACTTGCAAACAACACATGTATTTGCAACGTTTCGGGTCTAGTGCCGACATGTTGCCAAGAAATACAGGTTAGACCAGGGATGGGCAACTTTGGTGACAGCAAGGGCCACATTCATTTAATTCTCACTGCCAGAGGGCCAAATTAGGATAGGATAGGATAGTACTTTATTGATCCCCAGAGGGGAAATTCGGGCGTTGCAGCAGCACAGACAAGAAAGCTCGAAAATACACATTAAACAGAATAGATAAGATAAATACAAATACAAATACAAATAAAAATACAAATACAAATCAAAAAAAAAAATACAAATAAAAACAGGGGGTATATACAAGTACAAAATGAATGATGAAGTTAACAGGGGGGAATTGAGAATTGAGACAGTATTTGCAGAGAATGACAAGATAAAGTGACAAGTGATTAAAGTGACTTGGTGTGATAAATAGCAGCAAGTAATGTAAACAGCAGAGAAGAGAGGCAGTGTTGTACCACAGTCATGCAGAGAGAAATTAAATGATTACAGTCGATTATGTCTCAAATTTAACTCAACATATACCAGTGATCAAATATTATTATGGACATATTTCAGCTTTTCATGATTACATGGCAGATTTCATCATGTTTTTCTTCATGTTTCCAACTAATTGATGTGTAAAAAAAATTAACCTGAGGGCCACGTTGAGGGATGATGGGGGGCTGCATGTGCCCCCTCCCCCTGGTTTAGACAATGTGCCGGAGTTTACCTTAAATTAAATATGTTTTTGAAATAAATAAAAAAATAAAACAAACTTCACATGTCTGATGGGTCAAATAGTTAATTAGCACGTCATCAAGTGTGACCCCGGAAGCGTGTGTCGTGAAGCGGGCGGTGCCGTGTTTCTCCTTCCGGTGTGTTGGGACCGTTTTCACAAGCAGCAGCAGCAGCAGCAGCAGCAACGAAGAGAAGACTGTAGAGAGAGAGAGAGAGAGAGAGAGAGAGAGACTCCGCTGTTAGCCTGAAACATCAAGTAACAACAAGTAACACACGGAGAAAAAAAAAACCAGAACACACAAAACCTCCAGGGATTTCATTTTTCTTTGGCGTGAAACACAACAAGCGTCGCCCCCCCCCACCCCCCACTCATCGTCCGGGGTTTCCTCCCAAAGCGAAGGTGAGCGTGTTGTGTTTTTGTTTGTGAAGCAACATTTGACAGCAGGTTTTTTTTTTTTTTTGTTCGGTTGTTGGGGCTAATGTTCTGGTTGCTAACGGAAGCTAATTTCCTTGTTGCGCTCCGGTCCAGCTGTCACCTAGCCATCAGTAAGTAGGTGCTAGTTGAATACCAAAGCAGTGATTTCCAGTCTTTAATGTTCGGAGGTACATTTAAACACACGTGTTGCGATTTTTTTTACGTAGAATATGTATATATTTTTAAGTCACAACAGCTAAAAATACTCTTGGTGCTAAGGTTAGCTTTGTATGTTCAGGTCTCATAGTTGGGAAGCTAACCTGGCTACTAATCGATGTGTCCATCACTAACAGTGCACTCGCTTTGTCCATGAGTAAGCCAACTCGCGTCCTTGTTTTGATTCAACCCCGAGGCCCTTTTTTTTTTTTTTTTAATACGAAGGATCGATCATCTTTGTTGGATCTCCTGCTTCCTTTCCTCCACATGCATGCTACAACACAGAGGAGGGATGCAAAGACAGGCAGGCAGGCAGGCACAGGATACAAAATATGTGAATATAACCAAGGCCCCTCCTCAGTCTGGTCACTGTGGGCAGACTTGTTGTGAAGCAGTAATCTTAACTGTGTCAAGTTAGTGAGGTGAGGTGCATTTTGATAGGATGTCAAAGCTACTTTGCAGCTTCTTCAATAATGTAGGCACAACGCAAATGTCCTCATGGTCAAACATGCATGCGTAGATATGGCACATCTAAAATGTAAATGGGTGTGCACAGCTGCACAGTCCCAAGTTATTACTGAATCAATAGGGAATGTATGGCTAGTATTCAGTTACCCTGCATCTAGTAAAAATGATTGATTAACCCACATCCACTAAATTGCTCAGTGGCATACTTTAAGAGAGCAGTACAAACCAGTTTGGAAGTTGACATTTTATTGAAAAGTGAACTTGCTATAGGCAGTGCACGATATGAGAAAAGTGTGTGATGTGTGGTAACATTGTTTTGTACTGCGATAAAGATATGAAGTGTGTTAAATAAGTAAATGTTACACAGTGCATAGTAGCGATAATCTAAAAATGAACGTGTATCTTGTGTCTTCTTCTTCCTCCTGAATCCAAAGTAAAAACAGTGGCGGTTTTTTTGTTCACCGTTAAATTGGCAGCAGTTTTACCCGAGGGAATCTGATCACTAATTTAAGATGAATCTGACTGTGTCAAAATGGTGTGAAAGCATGAAAAATAATGGGCAGGTTTCTATCCAGTAGTTAAAATGCAAACTCAGACTTTTGCAGTGGGTTTGTTTGTAATGCTCATATCGTGATAATGATGACATTGCGATTAATTGTGCAGCCCCACTCGTGAGATATCCGCTCTAAATACATCTGTGTGGATGAACTATAAACTGGGCTAAAGCTGACATCTTTTAAAAAAGTCTTTCTGAAGAATAGGTGGGAACCAAAAATGTATATTTAAAGTCTTTCACTCAAGCCTCCTAAAAGGGAATATTTTGTGTTTCTCTTTCCTCCGTTATGACAGTTTCCTTTATGACTGAATGCCCTTGTATACAAAACAAGACATTTGCGGATGCCATCTTTTCATTACTATCTGACAAGTTGTGGAGATAAAAAAAAAAAAAAAAAAGACATAAGTTGTAGTAAGTGGATGGTCCTCACTTATTTTTCAACATAATTTAAACTGCCATAATATGCCAATAAGATATCGTATAAAAAAGGGGAAGATTCACTTCTGCTGATTTTGCTTTAATGCTCAGAATTTGGTTCAAAGCAGTAGGTGGACATGTGAGATCATCGTCATAGATGTGGGTGCTTGCAGCAGCCATGTATTGCATGTGTTGTTTTCTTTATGGTTTGATGGAGGAGGAGGAGGAAGATTAGGGCTAATCAAAATTCCCTCCAGTCATATTTCATAAGAGCTGGCTTTAAGGAGCGAGGCAGCTGTTAGTTGGCACTGCCACAGTAGGTGTCTGCACTATTGGCAGGCCCCCTCTCAGGCTGATCTTTCTGCTGAAGGTTAATCACTCTACTCTGAGCCTTTATGTTTCTGTAAAAATGAAAATATGTCAACAGATTAGTCATTTTAAATAGATGCTAATCAGCCAGAAGACTCTCTTTTTTCCCCCCAAGATGTTTTGATAGAAACATTTGTAGCATTTAATTAACGCCTTAGTACGTTTTCAGTGCCACATTCATGTGAAACTGAAGGAAAAACACCAGCAAATACATCTGGATTTCAAAAACAGCAATTAACCAATAACATCAACTATCCTGAGCTCTTGAAATGACTAACTTTTCATATTGCGAGCATCATCAAACAAATCTTTTTACCACTTTTAATCAGACTTGCTGCTATGGTTGTGTGACTAGACTGTAAACAGTTGTGTTCATGTGTTTGATACTTACTCTAATACACTGGGGCTTTAAAGAGGCATAGTGAGCACAGGACACATGGAGGCAGTTTTACTGAAACACAGTGACACATGCATAAATATACATGTTCAAAATATGCAATGGTAATATTGCAACGAGACTTTGTTCATGTTCACTTGTGCTGTGTAAGGTACTTTGAAATTCAATTTTAAGAAGTATTTATTATCAGGGCTGTGACATTAATTTAGTTTTATAGTAGATTTAGATTTTGTAGTTCCTGATCATGAAACAAGTTCATCAATAGAAAGCTTGTTGTGCCCATTCTGTTTGGCACGGATGCTTTCATTTAATGTTGTGTTGATAAAATCCAGCGTTTTCTTTAACAGTGATGAATTCTCATGGATTCAGGCAGGCTGCAGACAGACAACACCTTCTTGCAGCACGGCAGAACTAGTCCAACAGAGTGGCCGTGTGATGCAATAGTTGTTTCTTGTATCCAGATCATCCGTGTGTCCCCTTGTGTGAGGTGCTTAGTAAAGTCTGGTTGTAAATCTGTTGGCAGGTAAGAGAGGGTTAACATTTTATAACCTTGGATAACAAAGCTTTCCATTGTTTCTTTTGCTGGTATTCTGTGTTGGTCCCACTTACTCGTACTGAACTGCTCTCATCCACTAAAGTGAAATTTAGTTTACAATCAACCATCTGACTGAATCCATGGAGCCAACAGGAAGGAGTACTCGTGTCAGGTAACTGCGATCTCAGTATGAAAATAAAGATATTATAGAGCTGCTCTATCATGGCAAAAAAAATATGATTATTTTGGATTGATATTGAGATCACGATTTAAGCTTAAATTTAAGTTGTTGATTTGATATCATCTGCATCAAAATAATGAATAAATACAAACAATATGAGGTGGTGAGGTAGTGGGGATTTTTTCTTGTGGTTAAAATCTAAAAACAAACACTTTGAAATATTTAGCAGACGGGACAAAATGAGCACAACACGGCATGCAGCACAACGATCAAACAATCTCGATTATCTTCTTTTCATGATCGCGTGAAGACAAAATCACAACTGAATTTCAAACTCGATTAATTTCTCCGCACTAGGTGATTATGATTTTCTCCATGTATAGCAGCAGCTCTATATAGAACGTAAAACAAGACGACGGCTGAATGCTTTCCTTCCTGAACACATTTTTAAGAAAGCCTGGAATACATGATCCGAGAGAAGGATCATTAAGCTATAATAGTATGTAATAGGATTGAAGCTTTTAAAAACTTTAATATGTCCTCCGTTCTGAGATTAGAACAAGATCACTTTTGTAGGGTGCCAAAGGGTGTGTATCCTCAAACTCATCCTCATTGATCAGGAGACACGGCACCTCCACAGGGATAAAGTCCGGGGATTCCCCACGTTTCATCAACACTCAGAAAGCCTTTTGTCCACAGACCACAAGATGTTTTCCAGTCCACAGAAACAGTCCAGTGGGCTTTAATTTGTCCTTCACTTTATTAATGAGCTGGTCGACTGATATGGATTCACTCAGGCTTCAGCGCCTGTGTTGTGTTTTTTATTTTGTGCATTTCCTCCATCGTTAGATCAACACCTCTAACCCAGTTTCAGCTGAAACACCACTTTAACAGAAGTAGTCATTCATGTGGGCTCTTTTGATCGGTTTGCATCACATCTGCAGCTGACGGTGTCTCTTCATCCACTTCCTGTAGCTTAATGGAATAAGATTTGATTGTGTCTCTTCTTGGGAGATGTAGATGCTGTGGAAAACGTAGTCTGAAGTACACTTTAAAGTTTTGTTACCTTTTCGAAATAACAGATTGATCACACAACTCATGATATTTGAGGAAACGATACACAAGTTGAAAAATAATACCTATGGGCTCATTACAGCTTACAGTGTGATACATCTAATTAAAGGGTGCAGATGGTTTTGCTACCCTCCGTAAAATGTAATTTAGCTGTCCTATAAAGTTTAAATGCGGTAGTTTCTTGTACCACTTTTCTCTTTCCATCTCAATGCTCAGTTCGGGCATGTCTCAACATGTCTCAGATACAAAGAGGCTGCAGTAATCTCACAAGCATAACCAGTGGCAAGTGAATTAAACAGGCAAGAAGGTGCACATTTAGTTGAATGTAATAGAGCTTACAGTTCACACTGTCTGCAGTCATTCATACAAGGCAGTAGATATGATAAATGTTTATTTAGCAAATCAACACCAGTGAAAACCTCTTTCAATTGCATGTGAGAGTACAAAAAAGTACTACTCAACTTTTTTTTTTGCTTTAGGTGCAAAAATATTGTATTCTCATTTGCAGCTAAACAGAGAATTTTTTTTTTTTGCATAGACTGTAAATATAATGGGCAAAGCCTGATTGACGTCACCCATCTGTTTGTGCAGGGTGCTCTGGGGGCTCACTGACCGCAGCCGCCATGCTGTAAATCTTGTCTCACCCTAACTTTCAGACAACCATACAAAATTGGACAGATGCCTATAACTATGTTGTGAATGGCCATGTACAGGACTTTAAATACCACGTTATGTGTATTTAAATGTGTCTTTACGCAGCCTTTTGGGGACAAACTGTAACCTTTCTATGAAATTGAGCATCATTGCAAAAAAGTGTCTAAGGCCCCGTGTCTACCTTCCACCTGCTGTGGGAGAGTTCACAGCAGAAAGTGGACGCCTGGAGAAAAGGCACAACCCCCAGCGTCTTTTTTTCCAAGCTCAGCGCCTTTTTTGTGCGTCCGCTCTGAGCACTCACGTTGAAAATCTTTCATCTTTTCAGAAAGGCGATGTCACCGGGCGCTCTTTCCCAAATGTTTAACATTCCCTGTATTTTCGCCGCCTACCGATCGTGTCTTGTACCCATATCCTGTTTTCTCCGTGTCTGATCAGGAAATAAACAATCTCAAATATAAAACATACAGTAAAAAGTAATGGAGCCGTGTCGGTCATACAGCGGCCGTTGTCAACAGACTGTTGTCATAGAGACAGGACGGATGGGCAGCGTTCACTTGTCAACGCTTCATGCAAGCGCTCCTGAGTGCACAGCCAGAGCTTTTCTTCCATGAAACGATTTTTTCCCCACCTCTAAAATGTTCAGAGCTTGAAAGTTGTCTAAAGTTTTCAGCGTTCAACATACAGTTTGCACATGCTAACTTGTTAGCCAGGTCAACAGGAAGAAGGTCCAATAGCTACTATCGCTGAAAGAGGGAACAAGGACAGTAGTCCAAATAAAAGGCCTGATGAAGCTGTAACAGTAGCTCGACTTAACTGCATGTAAGCATACTGAGTATTGGAGCAATTTTAGTATCTGATCAGTGTATCCCTGACAACATCCTATTGAATCTAAAATAGAACCTTAATAGTAAAAACAAGGATGAACAAGGAAGCAAAGTTCAAAACATCCCTGGTAAGGTGTAATTCTGTTAATTAGCAGTGAAGTGTTAAGGCAATCAGGAAATAATGAGCGTTGTAACACAGCTGTTGTGAATGGGTAAAATGAGGTCCAGTGCATTAAATACGGGATACTGCTGTTACCAAGGAGTTTGAAGATGGTTAGCTTGTCATCAATCAGGATAAACACGTGGATGAACTCATCTCCATGCTGGTGCACTCCTTGTGACAGTGGCCTACAAATGATTGTTTGTAAAAAAGGAAACTGTTACAGCTCAGCTCACTATTGGTCTTTGCCTCAAACATGTTTGATAGCCATGTTTTCCAGTTCCAGCTTTATGTAATAGCAATAGTGCACAGTTGCCCTTGAGAGAAAACTAGCTGTCTTTGATGCTGAGATCTGTGCAGGCCATACCGAGCATGAGTCATCTGGAAGCCCACACACAAATACTTTTCAGCAGCAGCCTTTCCATGCTGAGGAATAACAGCGGTGTCATGAAAAAATAAGCAACTGTTGTTTCTTTTAATCATTGGTTGAAAAAAAAAAAAAAAGTTGTTTGTTAAAGGGAAGCAGTGTTTTTAAATGTATAAATATCTTTGGTGACTCGATATAACTTATGGACAGAATTTACAGGCAACTCTTTGTGTGCAGCTTCAGTGCAGTGTATGTCTGAGGATGAGTAACAGAAAAGGAAGTCCCCATCGAGGCCTGCAGTTAAAAAACATCTTATGCCCTAGTGACCGCTGAATCATACACCAAACTGCCCGCACGCCTTATAATAGGGACCTAAATTTATGTTGCTGAGCGTTTGACGTCCATCAAGTTAAGCTATGGTGTCCTTGTGAGCAGACACAGCTTTATATAATTGTTTACATAATATTCCCCACTGACATCGTCTGCCGGGCGATAGCCGTGGGTGGTGGAGAGTCTTAGATGCCCTCATGATCACAACAAACTCTGACCTAAGATTTGTGTTGATGTTCAAACTGGTTGCTGTGTTTTCTGTGACCACTGTGACTTGATGACTATCTCTTGAGATCAGCAGTGGTGTTACAGTAAGCCCATCTTGTCCTTGTGTAGCTTTGTCTACTTGTAAACAGGGATTTAGAGCATTCATTATGACACATGATGGGCTTCAAAGAAGAAGAAGACTTGCTATCTGACGGTGTAGTAAAAAAACCAAAAAAAAACAAAGTTATTTCACTTCTAAAATGTGATTTGAAATCCAGAGTGATTACTGGTGGGAGCATATGTGAGCCTGATTATTCATTTCATCAGTTGAAACCTTTTGTAGAGCTGTTGTTTTCACATATGCCCTCCTGAAAATATCTAGATAATTTCAGGAGGACTGCTCCTGAAATTCTCCTGACCTGGCTGTTCACATATGGACCGCACAGTGGGAGACTCTCTCTTTTACTTTCAATTACAGGACAGTGGACAGTTTAGTCCTCCTAGCTTGAATCACTGGGTTCCCCCCATTTGCAGCCTTTTTTCACCTTTTATATTTGTGAGTTATAACACAACTTAAACGTACTGTTTCAGTCAGGCCTCTTAATGTTGATTATTTTACATCAGAGCAGAATTCAAGTCTAATTCCTGATCTATTCCAGAAGCTATTGGACATGTTTTCCTGAATGTAAAGTGGCTTAAATTACTTTAAATTGATGTATGCAATGCGTTCAATGCCAGAGTTTTAATTAGGCCTTAGTAATATGTTTTTTCGCTATCAAGCCAACTACCGTTATATTTTTTTTCAGAAAGTTTTAAGTAGATTTGGAAGAAATGTCATGAAGTGGGAATGGTTTCTGTGCCTGTGAAAGCTTCTTAGATATTTGCTCACATTCAGCTTTTTGTTCAGTGAGCAGCTACCTAAGACCAACATTGTGCATAGTCTTTAAATAGGGACAGCTCCACAGAACAACACTACCATCTTTGATATGCTGCTCAGTGTTTGAAGTGAATGTCTTCTCTCTGTATCCTTTGTTTTACAGGTCTTCTACCTTCACCTCCCTGTGACAAATGTTGAGACCAGAGAGCAGCCTGTTGAAGAGCTGTTAGAGGTTACAGGCAGAGAACGGGGGGGAGTATCGTTTAGCTGTACCAGGTTGTGTCTCATGAGAGTGACTGTGCCATCCAGGCACTCCCAGTGACCAGCGCTGTGGCTGTGGTGGGCCCGGCCCAGGAGGCCTTCCTGTACATCACTCCGGGCACCCGCTGACCTGTGCTGCTCTCACTATGGATCAACAGAGAGACAAATATGGCGAGCGGCCCGCCAGGGCCACTAAAGTGTCCCAGGGAAGCCGCAGCGGACACTCGTCCCGGCCATCCGGCGCCTCCAGCTCCTCCGGGGTTCTCATGGTGGGGCCAAATTTCCGTGTGGGCAAGAAGATCGGCTGTGGAAACTTTGGTGAATTGAAGCTTGGTAGGTTGATTCTGTTTGTTTTGTTAAATGGTTTGTAACACAAAGGAGTGATTGACAAGGTGAATGTAGGAGCTCTTACTGCAGATTACTACTGTTCTGTGTGTAACTACACCCATGAGCCAGTTCATTTAATGTGTCTGCAGTCTGACACAACAGCCCTGTTTTATATTCTATTTTCATGAAGGTTCACATATTTCATGGGGAGTTGATTTAGCGTTCCGGTCATTTGAAGACAGGAGATAGTGGTGCCATAGATCTGCATTGCTTAATACCTCCAGATGTTTCTCGTATTCTGTCCCTCTGATTGATAAAAATCAGAGAAAACCAAATATAGAAACGATTCTAGCACAAAAGTACTTTAAATCACAGCCTCCAAAAGGACCTTTCAAATTAAAAACACATTTGAAAAGTTATTAAAAGACATTTAAAAAAAAAAAGTGTCTTCCCTTGTATAATCAATTTCATCTTCAATTCCTGTGTGTCTCTCCTCTTACGGCTCTCTTATGAATTTCTCTTCTGTCTTATTTCAGGTAAAAACCTCTACACCAATGAGTACGTAGCTATTAAACTGGTAAGTGCATAGCTTCTTTCTTTGCTTAATTCTTCTCTTTTGCTGTTTTAGAATAATTTGCTAAATGATTGATACAACTGATTCAATACATAAAGAGGTAACTTTAATTAAGATTTAGAAAATGTCGCTATATAGACACATAAATATAAACAGGATCTATTTTTCCCTGGGAAGAACAAAGTGATAACATTCAAGATGAACATTTGCGCATGTGTGTGTGTCTGTGTGTCTGTGTGTTTGTGGCACTATGGGTGTGTGTGTAGATGCTGGGATCCAGTGTGAGTGTGTGTGTGTGTAGATGCTGGGATCCAGTGTGAGTGTGTGTGTGTGTAGATGCTGGGATCCAGTGTGAGTGTGTGTGTGTGTAGATGCTGGGATCCAGTGGGTGTGTCTTTCCAGTGGCTGCTGGAGTAGAAACCATGCCTGCTGACTCATGGCTTTATGATTGTACACTAGAGAGCAGTAAATAGAGTAGCCACACTAAAGGACTAGTACGTTAATCAAGCCAAATACCATCCAGCTGCTCACCCTGCTGCATGCTTATTATGGACTTCTGACACTGATGTGGTGCTCTGATCAAATCTTTCACTTAATGTGTAGAATTTCAGTTCAGCAATAACAATTTATGATAACCATCATTAGTACACTCTATTTATCGTAAATTAACTTTGTTTAATAGTTATATCATGTTTTTCAGTGGTTTGATAATGTATGTAATTGTGTCATTAGTTTACTAGAATCATGAGTATATAAATAACATATTGTGTCACAAATGATAATAAAAACAGTAAGAATCAGAGAAACTGTTTATTATTGTAAAGAGAGAGTGAGGGTTAATTCTAGATGCATTATAGATGCAAACATTTTCTTTAACCTAGCGAATCATTTAGTAACCATTAACACATTCTTAATACAGTATAGAAAGTGTTCTGATGTGTGCCATAATAACATATCAACATAACAACTTTATCATCATTTCATTGTTTAACATTAAATGAACTATTTGTTAAAGTAAACTACTGTTTATTGATGATGGTTATTATTATGAAGTGTTACCAGAGCAGGGAATGTGGAGGGAGTTTCCCAAAGATTATCCAGGACACCTCGACTTGTCCCTTTTAACTGATTCAAAATGTTTCCACATGAGTATGAGGTTTTGTAAGCTTGAGTGTGGGGTAACTGATGTAAGCTGTTCGATTGAGAGTTGAGTCAGCGTTGGAGAACAAACCTACAAAAGGAGACTGCTTATCATTTTAAACTTCTCTCTTGGTGAGGACATAGATTAGGGTCTCTTTTTTTTTTTTATTACACATGAATCTGCAAAAGAGTGTGCTCGTTGAGGTTTGTGTCAGAAGACATACTGGTGTTATATGTTGAAAACTGGCAGGTCAGTTATTCTGGTAGACCTACTAGTGTTACATGATGGGAGGGTTTTTCCTGGTTCTTCCCAAATCCTGTAATTACATCTCATCAGATGGCATGCAAGTATCTGCCTGTAAATGAACCATGACTCATCTAAAATGTGTTGGCACTTCACAGGCCACAGGGTGAACAAAGAAAAATATGTTTCATAACTTAAAGACAATGTTTGTTTTTTTACTGACTTCATGAATAATAAACACTTGTCTATGTTTTTGTGGTTGTCGTTAAGTGAGTACTGATTAGATGTGATTGATCTGTGCAGGAACCAGTGAAGTCGAGGGCACCACAGCTGCATTTAGAGTACCGGTTCTACAAAACACTGGGAACTACAGGTAAGGTCACACTTCTTATTTATTCATTAGTGCTTGACAATGATTTGACTGTTTTGGCACTAAGATCAGCCCAGGAGATTGCATCATTTCCACAACAAGTGATTACTCCACTCACGTTAAATTAAGCCTAGTCAGCAACTTAAAGTGATCTCCAGGACTTTGTTGCCATGAGTGTTTGAGCGCATACGTGCATTGAGAGCTTGTTAAACCGTGACCTTGCCTGACACTAGACCTACCAGGGGTGCAATTGAATATGAAAGGTGTTGACGTAAAGCTTCTTACACACACCCACAGAACAGATGCAACTGCTGACCTTTTCTGCGGCTCCACTGTAAAGACTTCCTTGTTGTTATCTCGGCAGAACATGCAGGAAGTGTTGCAGGCTATGTTTGAGGATGTAGTGTATGTTGTGTGTCTGCTGTGACAGGGGTGTCCTGCTCACTGTAGAGTAACAAACACGTGCCTAAGGTCCAGCTCCAATTGAGCTAATAAACTGAACATACTTTCAGAGTATGTTTACAAAGTGGCTCTTAAAATAGAGGCATTTAATAGCTGTGACATACATTCCTTTTATCTAAAGTCTAAAGGTCCCTTGGTTGCACAGAGCTGTGAACACAAATAAATTATCACCTTATTAATTTGACACGTTGAACTTGTTGGCAAACATATGCTCATTTTCACAACCAGCTGTCAAAAAGCCCTTTTCAGACTGCTCTTTTTTTTTTTTCCCCTGCAAAAGTGATGTTACTAAGCTCAGCGTCAACCTCTCTTTGTACACTCATATTGATTCAGTGATTCCGCTTAATATTCTTGTCAATTCACATTGCGCCCCGCCGTTGTACTCTGTCGGACTCTGTCATCTTTGAGTTCTGCAGCGACTTATTTCATCATGTCTTGCTTCTTAAGACGTCCTGAGAGTGAAAAAGCAACTCAGGAAGATTTCAGAGCAAGCTGTCCACGATATTTCCCAGAGTGCAAGTGTGTAAACACAACTAGTATACTGATTAATTTGGAGTATTAAAGTGCAATGTTCTCTATCATCTTGAATTTTGTTGTTTGGTCTCCACCCAACACCACATTTGAACCAGAGGAACTAATTCCAGGAAGTAAACTAAGAACCTAAAGCTTCTCGTTCATATTCCTACCTCAGAGTGCAGGCTGTTGCTGGGCAGTTCGTTTGATTTTTAAAGCTTTTCATTGGAAAGCAGCATGCCGATGAGAGCAGAGAGAGTGGACTAAACAACAGTGTTGTTTTCTGAGACGATGATGGTTTAAAGCTCTGCAGGGTTGTGTAATGGTTTCCTGTAAGTTCACCGGTATGATTCACAGCTTCACATCACACTTGGTCATTTCCACCATCCAATAGTAAAAATATTCATTATAGACACATCAAGCAAATGCACGGATGAGACTTGAACTAAGTGAGCTGGGGGGGAAGGGGAATTAGAATTTGCCCACAGGGCTGTTTAAATCTCCGGTATCAGGCTGTCTTATTCATGGTCTTGTTTCTACATGTTGCAAAGGACTCAAAGTAAGTCCAGTTCAGCCCAGGGAGTCACAACCTGAGGAAACCATTGCAGAATGTTGCCAATATGTTAAAGCTGAGAGAATGTGCAAATACAGTGGCATGGCATGTGATGCTGTGTAGCATTGATGTAAACTGGTTTTAGAATGTTGAAGTCCAGTGCATTGTTATATTTGCATACTTTAAATGGACTTGTGTGAATCTTTGGTCTGGAGTGGCTTATTGTTTTTCTGCAGTCTTGGTCACACATCCAGGGATCTGTATCGGTTACTTTCACTGCATGAGGCCAGATGTTCAAAAGTGAACACATGATCCACATTACCAGATGGTATTTAATTAGGTTATGTATTTCATATGCAACATGTAAACATTGTTAGATATCAGATTCCTAGCACTCCGTGGTATTTTCAGCATTATTCATAATTTTCATGTTGGTGCATGATTGGTGTTTGTGGTGGTTCTTTATTCGTTCTGTTTAGGACTATGACACACATTTCAAAAATGTTTTTCCCGGTACATGACCTGCGATAGTACTGCAGTCCTTTCTGTGGTTATTTTATAGCTTTTTATTCTAAATTTGTTCCCACACAATGATCCATGGAATTTCTCTCTCCACTATCTGGCCCTTGGTGTCTAATGGTGATATAGTGCTATATTTATGCATGTCTTCTCCCACATGCTCTACAGTTTTTCCTTTCAGAAATCTGTCTTTTATCACTTCATTACTCCTTGTTCTAAATGAAAGACAATACTATAATAGCAGCTTCTTGATTTCCCTTTCCTTGACTGTGCTCCCTTGAGAATCTCAGCGTGTCGTAAAAGCTTAGTCAAGGTCTTCTGACGCATCCCTGTTACAGCAACCACACTGACAAAGATTCTTATCAGGATAAAATGACTACAACAGAGGAATATATTGAGGGTCAACTTTTTTAGTCTTAGTGGTAGAGGAAATGGGTGTGGACGGTGGAAACAATGGGACAATGCTCTGTAGGTTTTTGTTGCTGTTATTGTAAAACAGTTGAAATAATATTAAATGGCACTGGTAGTTGAATGAATACGCCTAAAAAAATAAAAAGCAGGTAGTAATTGATATAAGCTTTTTTCTGCTTCTCATGTCGCTATATACTAATAAAGGTTATCATACAGTATTAAAAGGCTAAGTATCATTATTTGAAAGTGAAGCAGTGAATTTTGAATGTATGGTCCTATATGTGCCTTTTGGAGTTCCACATGCATGTATGACATCCAGACTGGGAATATAATGGCTATTGTTTTGCAAAGGCAGGGGCTGGAAAAGGCCAACTGTGCGGAAACTCATTAAATATTTAGAGAGTGGGTCTGCCTCTCTTAGAGCTAACCTGCCTGCGTCCTCTCCTCCAGATGGGATAACGTGACCTCATTTCTTCTTGCCTGTGAGCTGTGCCACATTCCTCGCAGCCAATGTGGTTGTCACAGTGTCTGTGCAACAGCGTCTTTATGAATTAATGTGCTTTGACTCAGATGCTCAATCAGGTGTCGTATCTGGTGCATAACCAACTGTCACCAGCTATTAATGAGGATGATTTAATAAGGAATCAAACATCTCCTTCCATATATCATGTGAGGATATGTGTCAGTGCAGTCAGTTGCTTTGCTTCGTTTATGAGCACACCGTGATGCGTTATTGTGCAGAGGGCGGGACTGTTTAGATGATCAAGACGGTTTGTTTAAGGGTGGCTGGGCACTGAACTGTTGGAGGTATCAGCAGCCAGTCCTCATCATGAAACGCTACACCAGCTCTGTGACCATCTCAACCCCAAGGAAGTAAACATTTCCCACAGAGACGCAGCTTAACAGATTTTACAAACATGTAGAAGAGAGAGGCCAGAGGTCTCCTCCTGGATATCTGTTCCCACTAATGCAAAGACATGAGTCATCGTTAGAAACGGAACTTCTGTCAATACTCTGTTTGCTTTAAGTTTAAACAAAATTATGGTGACACATTAGTGAATGTAAATTAAAAGAGGGAAAATCTGAATTTGAATACTTACACTGAGTGGTTCTATTCTTTCATTGGAAATATAAATGGTTATTCCCAAACACGTGACTTGTAAAACCTATAAAAAATAAACAGCAGTAGGACCACCAGTATTTCTGAAATGCTTTTCTGTAACACATTCAAACTTTTAATCAGACATTGAGTATTTTAACCGTTCTGAGAGTTGCATTTGGCCGTGAGTTGTGTAGCCTTAGTTTCAAACTGGCTGTTTTGGTTCTGCAGCTCTAACATATCTAACATCATAGCACAGCTCTAAATTAAATGTTTTACATATGGTCAGATTGACTATTACTAGTGCAGCTTTGGGGAAAGCAGTAGATGATATTAAGCCAGCCAGCAAATATATCAGAAAAACTAAATTTGAGCATCCAATCAAACAACGGCTCAGTCCCTTGACATGAGAAGCCGAGAATAAATCGTAGAACTGCAGAACTCTTTTTAATCAAACATTTTCACCTCATCATACATTTACAATGTAGTGCCGTACAGGATACAAGAAGGAAATTACTGATCTTACACAGGGCTCTCTCACACACACACACACACACACACACACACACACACACACACACACACACACACACACACACACACACACACACACACACAGTATACAGAAAAACACATCCACTAACACCTACATCCAATTTAGAGTCACGAATTCGCCTCACCTGCATGTCTATGGAATGTGGGTGGAAACCCACACAGGCAAGAGGAGAACATACAAACTCCACACAGAAAGGCAACACACAATAATCACAACGTCATGTCTGGCAGACAATGTGTTCTTCCTTCATTAAAAAACATGGCGTCCTTGTTGACAACATGTGTGGAGCAATGTCATTTTTGATTCTTTTAGATTAGATATGTAGATTGCATAGACAGCTCGATTTTGAGATAATTTCCACATCTTTTTCTGCTGTGACGGATAACTTCTAAATATCAGAACACAAACAACCAGATGGTCAACATCAAACTGACAAGCCCAGGAGTAGTCCTACCACAGAGTCCAAAGTAACCGAAAAAAAAACCCACACAGAGAAGCGAGTATACCGGCCAGGATATCTGAGCGAGTGCCTTTCAGTCAGACTCATACTCATTCATCACATTCATCTTGTTCCCCTTTTGTTGTAAAGAACTGCTGCCAGCACTTCTATTAAATAACAGTAATACGAGTGAAATGTATTTTTAATCCTCTTGCTCAATGGTTGACAGACTTGATACGTTTGTGTGTGACAGCAGTTATAAAACCATGACAGTTATTTTCATACTGTCTCATTATATATTCAATACATTCAACATGATACAACTGAAACTCAGTCAGAAAAACTACAGCTCTGCATCTGAATACTTATGTCTGTGTGGAAGGGAGTGTTAGTTTGCACAGTGTGAGCACGATTTGAGCAAACATAATGCAAAGCATGAACTAAATACTGAAATGCAAAAGCTGATTTAACCCTTTCAACTCTTTGAAATGACTCTACCTGGGCCCAAATACTTTTTGCTTACAGTGATGTCATTTTTGGAGTGTTTTTTAATTGATTTATTTTCATCCTTCAAATATGCACATGCAAAATCTGGGTTAAAAAGACATGTAAGCCAATTAACATATATATTTTTTTATTGCAATCAACCACAATAATCACACAAGTGTTGTACTTTTAGAATAGAGGTGAAATGTGGATGTTTTGTTGAAACTGCTGTTATTTTGTCTATGCTTCCACCGTTGTTCACTGACTTGCACTAGACATACTAAGAATATCCCCAAGACAAAGTCAGCACTACACCCACACATTGCTCTCATTATTTTTTGGAAAATTGGAGGAAAGAAGTCAAAAAGTGGTACCTAGAACATTGGAAGCTTCTATCAAAATCTCCCTGTACAATTAGAGTCAACTCTGAAGTTCAGGACACACAGATTCAGTCTCTTACGAGGACGGTTTTGTCGTAGATAATGATGGTTCTACAATCTGTACTTTTCCTTTGCTTGTAAAAAGCTTGACCAACCTTGTTTCCAATTGAACGAGCGTTTATCCACTTATTTACAGCACATCTCCAATCTGACACGTTTTAAGGCCTCCCACAGGCACCCGTGGTTTCAAGGCACTCATTCCTATGTTACAATTAGCAACCCACAGAACTGCATAATGGTGTCCAGAAACACAGGATGGAGCACAACATGACTCCTACATGCCCGTATGCTAGCTGACAGCATCGCGCCACCTTTCATGCTGCAGCGTCTTTCCCATTAACTAGCTGGCAAGTCAAGATGTCTTCTGCCACGTTTTCAATATGAAAATGTTATCTCATTACATCAGGATTAGTGTTTAAGCTTTCTCATTACCAAACCTGCTTATATTACATGAGCACCATAAAAAGCTTATGATAGTCATTTTCTCCCCTCACTGATCTTTATGGTGCAAAGTCATTTCTTAGAGCTGCCTCCTTCATCATGGCACAAAAAACATGAAGGAAATGTTTGTCCAACATTTGTACTCTGTGTGTGTGTGTGTGTGCAGAAGAAAATGTTTTTAAGCTTGTGTGTGTATATAGTAACAGAATGTAAATGTATCTAATTCAGAAAAAATGTTCTGCAATGGAAGGTGCCAGGAAGAAGAAAACATTCTCTTCAAGCTGCCCTGATCAGTATGTTTTTATGTAAACTCTGAATCTGATGACTGTGTGTTGTATGAAAGGTGTTACTAGTAGTCAGACTTCCTGAACATTATCTTTTAAGTCGGTTCTCCTCCTCTCTATGTAGCTTCAGGTCATTTTTTAACTTTATAGGTTTACTCTTATCGACTTAGCTTCCTGCTCACCAGTCGGCTGTTTTATAAAAGGTGTGCTAAATCCTCTGCACACAACCTGCCCAGCATCACGTTACAGTCAAATCAACCTGCAGGCTGTTTTCTTAGGGTGGAGACCAAAACAAAGCTAATAGATGAGTAAATATTGGACTTTCTTTTTCCAGGTTAAACATGACCCATAATTCAAACTGAAATCACTCTCCTTCTATTGGATGTTTGAAGAAGGGTGCACGCAGCTGATAGCACCCCCCTCCCCCCTTATCAACATCAGAAGGTGTTAATGTGTGTTTTTAAATCTGTGGAATTAGATTTTGATTAAACCATTCACCCAGAGGTGAAAACACAAAGGTATATCTAACATACCTATGCAGCTACAAATGAACATATAAATTAAGAAAGTTCATCTCCAGTTGCGCAAACAAGGCTACAGATTTTGTGCTTGTCCAGCTGTTTTTTTTAGCCAGATGTGCAGATACTCAATATTAAAAGGCTCTCTTAAGGACCAGGGATGTGAAAAGCAATCAGGACATTCCTCCTTTTCTTCCACTTCTATGCAATTATAATATTTTTGAGGACTGAGCCGAGTCCGAAAAAGTCAGGTCTGTGTGATTGGAGCGGCAGCATTTCTTTGAAGTTTCTTGAGGGGACCTTTTTTTAATGGGATTCTGACTTGCAGTGAGCAGAGGCAAACTTTGAATCATGCTTCCTCTGAAGGCAATTAACAGTTTGACCTGGTTTCCTTTTCTTTGAAACTAAAGTTCAAGATGTGGTCAGGATCACAGAGAAGAACACAGAAATCACCAGTTACACATAATCATTAATGCATGACTGTTGTGATGAATTTCATACTGCGTGTGCAGAATGCTGAGGCTTATGTTTTATGTTTAGAAATTCCCATTTGTTGCTTTTTAGATCAAGTCATGAAAAACTGCAGCAATAAAGGACCAACCGTGAATCAACATGAACCTTTTTAAATATCAAACACCTTTCAAAAAGTTGAACAGCATTTAAGTCACAGCTTGTCAGCAATTACAGAAGCAGTACAAGGGTCAGAGCATCATGCCCTGCCATCATTACTGCTGCATTTGAATGAAAACACATAACACAAAACTCCACTGTAACAAGAAGCAGAATAAGAGCCAAGGTGACAGATGGAAGGGATTTTAGAGCAATTAGAGGGAGTAGAGCAGAGAGGATATGATTCAGTTGGGAGGATGTGATATGAGGCAGTGCAAAGATTAGTTTCCATCCTGCAGTACAGGAGTGACACAGTTGTATTAGGAGGCCCTACTTTGTAATTCACTGTAGGGTTAATGTTTACCCAGCAGCTTTCTCTACTCTGTCCTCAGTAACCTTGTGCTGCCCCTCCTCCTATCTGTCCATTTAGAGGCCTCTTACCGTTTACCTTGGGATCAACTTAGAACCATCATTATTCAGACAGGAATAATAAACACGTTTGGCACCCTAACTCTTCAAATTCCCACTAGTATATACAGCCAAAGACATATTCTTAATATATTCTTCTAATTAGTATTTCCTTTCTGCAACTGTCGACCATCCAAGCTATTCATAAATCATCTTACATGTGGTTTATTCAAAACAATGAAGACTTGAGATTACGTAAACAAATGAGGACTGGACTTTTGTTTATTTTAAGTCTTACTTTCTTGTTCTTGTGTTTCAGCTGAGGGCGTACCCCAGGTGTTTTACTTTGGGCCCTGTGGGAAATACAACGCCATGGTTCTGGAGCTGCTCGGCCCGAGTCTGGAGGATCTCTTCGACCTTTGTGACAGGACTTTTCCCTCAAGACTGTCCTCATGATAGCAATTCAGCTGGTAAGTTTGATATGGTGTATTAAGTTGATCAAAATAGCTTCTACTCACTTGTTTATAACAAATGAAATGCTGGTATTCCAAATGTGTGTAGAATAAAACAAGCAACAGCCCAAACAACCAACAAACAAAATCATCAGTGGGGCAAACATTCAGCACCTCGCTGGTACTAACGTCTTTTTTGAACAGTTATGGTTATTCTTTGTTTTCCATTTGTCATCAATCATTCAACATGATTGCGATGTTGCTGTCAGTAAAAGTAGCTGCTGTCTGAGGTTCCCTACAGATGTTTCACTATGAAAACCTTGAATGTTTTAAAAGAATGGTGCCCCCTTAACTACGAGAGGGTTTAATTGTTAATCAGACAAAAGAAAATATACAAACACGTACTATTTTTCTGGATTTCTTAAGCAAATGCTGCAGTCTTTCTAAACAGATGGAGTTTGTATGTTTGACCATCGATTTATATGGAAAAGGAGAGCTATTTCAATTTAATACAGGAAAAAATTAAACAAATCAGTAATGCATGCCTGTCTAAAGTAATGTCCTGGCTCTGTGACGTAAACAAGGCACAAAACGTACAACCAGTTTAAGATTGTGAAGTACTTCTGCATGTATATATATACCAGATAGCCTCGTAAAAACAAGTTATTCTGAATAGACTGCTTTATAGCAGTTCTGCCTACAGGCCATATGCCAATAGAGCAAGTGGGAAAGCAGTGTAGGATCTCCTGTAACCCTGTTTGCAAATTAGCAATCTGTCCCTGTACACATATTAACGGTCAGAGTCAGGTTGGCTGGAAGCTGTCAAAAAGAGCAGAGCCATTACTGAGTCTCATTAAGTGTGAGCAGCACAGAGGGGGGTCTGACCCAGTCTGTTGGGCGCCTCAGACATCTCAAAATTTCTAACATTTCATTTCATCAGCACAAAAATCTGCCTAGCTTTTGTAACGTAGATACCCTCTGAAGATTTGTAAGGAAGCACACAAAACAGCACATCAGAAAACATGGTATAGCATAACACAGAGCTGGTAGAGCCTGAAAATCAGAGAATTCCTCCTCTGTATTTATCATGCAGATCTCCCTCTTTATTTTTTGGCATAAATGTATGATCCCACAATAAGTGCTGCGAGCTTGTCCTCCTACTCAAGCTCCTTTTTTTGATCTGGTTTCAAAAAAATGTTTCAGGGGATCAGAATCCCTCAAAAACAAACCCATGTAAAGGATCCTATTACTCACACCGCCTCAGTCATTTTCCTGTGTGTTGGAGCTGGTTTTCTTTTCAGTTACAAATCTGTTCTTGGAAGGTAGCGACTACGAGCACCTTGTAAAAATGTCTCACCTGTAAACTTGATGTTGCTTTGGTCCTTATCACTGGTGCTTTTGTAATCCTACATCTCTACAGGACTTTTCTGATCTCACTCAGTGCCTTGAGTTCTGGCTGGTCACCAACAGAGGCTTTTGTTGGGTGACAGTAATGGACCTTTGGGGTATTTTTGCAGCCTAGTGCTGAAAGTAAGAGTGAATATAAAGTGTTCTAGAGTTCACTTTTTATCAATCACATTTGATCATTAACTGCAGACCTATAATGATAGGGAAGTCATAGAAACATTTTGCTCTATTTCTATGGGTTTTTACTTTTAGAGTCTTGCCTCTAAGCTTGTCATTATAGCTTGAAAGATTTCTTGAACAATTCCATAAGGCTCATGGATAGCAAGAGATGGCTTTAAAAGGTGTTTTACGAACAGATAAAAAGTAATACAACAGAACATTCATTCTGACTCTTCATCCTTGAGATGTAAGATGCTCTGAATGTTACATTCCTCATATTCGTAGTGTTGTAGTCAAGACCACACTAACCGAGAACAGAGTGCTCCAAGACCAAGACTAGTCCTAGGCCAAGATATTTAGGGATCAAGACCGAGACAAGACCAAGTCCATAAATATCCATGAAAAATCATCATCTTGTGTGCAGGGGGCGTGCGACTCACTTAGACCGTAACACTGGGATGGCTGCGGCCATAACCTGGGGATCAAAATCTAATTATTAATGAATTAAAGTTAATTGTTCTTTTAGAAAGGGGCGTTAACTTCAAATCAAAGGAATGATGTGGAAAAATTGCAGATCAGTGGTGGTCTTGACCGGTCTTGCTTTAAAATCCGAATGCAACACAGTGAGATTAGGCCGAGTAAAAATGCTTTCGATTCTGAGACGAGACTGAGACCTTCAAAAAGTGGCCTCGAGCCCGGTCTTGAGACCAAGACCGACTTCGAGACACTACATACAACACTACATATTGGTTTCAATTTCTCTTTCACAGTCATCTATCATTGGAGGCCCCTGAGAAGTTAATGCACACATCTTCCAAACTTAACTCCTCATTTTCAAATGCATGTTTCTGATGTCGATGCATAAGCTGGAAGAGCTTAAATCTCTGTTCGTCAAAGGCTGACAAGCAGTAAACTTACCGGTATACTCCAATGACAATTTCCACTTCTTTTGGCATCTTGATTCTCATTTCGCCGGCTCTTCTTGCTTCTGATGAGATAGGTTCTGTTGTTTCATGTTGATGTTTTTTTTTTTGTACTTACTCTGCTGTTTTACTTTCCCACCAGATTTCCCGGATGGAATATGTGCACTCTAAAAACCTCATCTATAGAGATGTCAAACCTGAAAACTTTCTCATCGGACGGCAAGGGAATAAAAAGGAACACATAATCCACATCATCGACTTTGGCCTGGCCAAAGAATACATCGATCCCGAGACCAAAAAACACATTCCATATCGGGAGCACAAGAGCCTAACCGGCACGGCCCGATATATGTCCATCAATACACATTTAGGCAAAGGTAAGACTTGATTTCTTTTTGTGATGGACTGTTCTTCATTGTTTGTAGATAAAGATGATTTGATCTTTATTCTTGAAGTAAAACCTTTTCATGTCTCTTCAAATAGAGCAAAGCCGGCGAGATGACCTGGAGGCTTTAGGCCACATGTTCATGTATTTCCTTCGTGGGAGTCTACCTTGGCAGGGACTAAAGGTATGCCAAGTACACGACTGTGCTGATCCCTCACATGTGTGACCCAATCATCAATGAAACAGTAACACGTCTGAGAGCTGACATGATTTCATGACCGTGTGGGATCGAGTAATTATAATATTATAAAAGATCAGTACATTTGTTTTCTGTGCAGCTCGACTATTACTCTTTGGACATGAGGTCTATACATCTTTCTGTTTTTTCTTCTGAAGGCCGACACGTTGAAAGAACGATACCAGAAGATCGGAGACACAAAACGAAACACTCCCATCGAGGTCCTTTGTGAGAACTTTCCAGGTAAACCGATGATCTCTGTTTCAAACTGGTAGATCAGGATGTAACATTTGACAATTGTTGTATAGTATTGTCAGTGATTTGACCTGTTTCTGTGCAAGTTTTAACCACACAAAAAATCTTGCTGTATAATATCCATATTGAATGTGAAATGTTTTTTTTGGTCGTTTTTTTTCCTTCAGAGGAAATGGCAACCTATCTGCGATATGTGAGACGGTTAGACTTCTTTGAAAAACCTGACTATGAATACCTGAGGACTCTGTTCACTGAACTGTTTGAGAGAAAAGGATACACCTTTGACTACACCTACGACTGGGTTGGCAGACAGATAGTAAGTAACACACAGAGTTTATTAACAGTAACGGTCAGTGAGACAATTTAAGCATTTAACTGATTACCGTCCCCATCAGCCCACACCAGTGGGGTCTGTCCATATAGACTCCGGAGCATCTGCTGTCACGAGAGAGAGCCACCCTCACAGAGACCGGCCCTCACAGCACCAACCAATCAGAAATCAGGTAAGTCGGGTTTTGCTGTTGTTGATGGGAAAGACTTTCTGAATTCTCAAGCTTTGATTTCAGTGAGGAGAAAAGAAACGATGAACCTTAAAATGTATTTTAAAGATCCACACAGGTACCGTTAAGTGACTGAAGAGAACACCTGTTGAACCCACAAAGATTACTCTTTAGTGTAATACAGTAATACAATACAAAAACACATAACGATATAGACGCTTTACGAGCCAGCTTTCCATCGAGTTTTCCCTCAGTTTGCCCCACAATAAGAGGGATTATTGGGACGAACCATTCATAATGACGACAAAGATAATGCTCACATGTTCACATTACCGGTATGTACTGCATTCAATTTCAAAGTCTGAGAAATCTTGAAGCAGGAATGATTTGAAGTGTTTATCAGAGCAGGTGAGTTTTTGTATTTGACTTTAAGGCCCTGTGTCCATCTAGTGTTTTTTTTCTGAGCACCAGTGTCTATTTTCAATTGTGGAAAGAGCGTTCCCAGCGGCAGCCTGGAGAAAATATACAAAATATACAGTATATGATGTTCACTGTAGTTTTGCCGCCTACGGATCGTGTCTTGTACCCGCATCCTCTTTGCTCCGAAATAAACGATCTAAAGTATAAAACATGAAATGGAGCTGTGTGGGTCATACAGCCGTCACTGTCAACAGACTGTTGTCATAGAGACAGGAGGGACTTGTGGCGATTTTCTTCTCAGCGCACGAACACTTCATGCAAGTGCTACCTAGCACACAGCCAGCGCTTTTCTGCCCAGAAGAAACCGGTAGGTGGACACGGGGCCTAATGCAGGTTTTCAGAGATATGATCCAAGAATGGATGTTTATTCCTCCATATAAGGTTTAGTTGAAAAGTACCAGTCGCGACTTTCCTCTGAATGTTACTCAGCTACACCTCTACCTTGATGACTTGTTCTGTCTGTAACTGTAACAAAGATAACGCTCCTTGCATAAGAAAGATATAAAATACCTGTTCAACAATTAAAGAGTTTGTATTTAAGAGCTAACCTTCAATGGGCTTCAGACTCTGAAGTCTCTGGTTTAGTTGTCTGGCTGAAGCCTTGCTTTGATTTTTGATTTAATTTTAATTTTTTTGCATTTTTTTTTTCTCCATTTCTCATGCTGCTTTGCATGTTGACCTGGCCTCGCACACACCCGATTACCCATCTTTCCTAACGCAATTATTCCATCACTCCCTCACCCCAAACCCCCCACCCATCACACCCTGAATCCCTCTTCAACTCCCATCACCGACGCCCCCAACTACCTGAGCAGACTGCGGTGTCAGATCGACGAGGAGCATGGGAGGTGCAGCCCACACGGCAAGCAAACTCGTCCTATCTGACCTCCCACCTGGCAGCGGACAGGCACGGGGGCTCAGTGCAGGTATACACCCCTCACCTGATCACCCAGCAGCCCCCACCCAATCTCTATGGAGTCAGATCTGTCTCATAGGATCAAATCCAGGATTATAAGATACATTTACAAGAATAAAGCCTACCAATGCTCTGATTCATCATACATATAAACCACTTTTAACCTGTTTTAAATCTAGCTCTGGCATTTAGAAATTGGTGAATCTGTATTTCACCACATTTTACTCTGTTTTTTAGTTTCTTTCTATAAATATAGACTATTTTTATATAATGTCAGACTTCTGTACAGTTCATACCGAAGTATAAAAACACCCTTTTTTGTTTATCATCTCAAGTGAACTCAGTCCTTTCAGCAGGTTTTGTGTATGAGACAGATCTACACCCATACACCTTCCCCGAACCCTTTACTCCTGGCTGGGAAATGTTTTGTTTTTTTCTGCACCACCATATGCATGACATCTGGTGCCACCCACCCCAGATGGTAAAAATGTGATTTGAGCTCTATAAACAGCAGCCCAGGTTGTGGCATTTTGATCTCAGGTCCTACAGCCCGTCATGGCGCGGGGACAATCCTTGAAAGATCAAGAAGCCTCTTGCATGGCGGGCTGACCTGGCTTATCCGGCTAAGTGCATGTTCTTAAGTCGTAAAGGGTCACTATGCTTTAAGAGACATCCAGGTTTCATTTTGACTACTTGCAAGTACATAATGTATAACCTCTTGTTTGCAAAGTTGTGTGCAGTGTACACTAGACAACTAATTTCAGGATGTACATGTACCTTGTCCCATGGTTGGTTTCAATTTGTCTCTCCATCTCTGATTGGACTCTCAGTACAGGATGATTTAGGAAAATGTCAGTAATCTATCCGTTATAATAGCCTGTTAACGTCCTTAGATGTGTTTGTCAGGGTTAAGGTTGAAGAGTCAAGTTTCTGTATATATTATTGACCCTTTATTGAGAACAAAGCAAACACATTTACTTTTTTTTATCTCCTTCTAAAAACGTCCATGACTTTTTACTAAAATTCTTAATAGTGGGTTGACTCAAAAACAAAGAAACACTGGTAAGAAATTCTCCCATGAGAACTAGTTTATAATCAAAGAAAAAAGGCTAAATCTCTTCTTACCAGAACCTTCTTGTTATTTAATATTCAGACTTAAAATGACAGATTCTGGTTGGGTGGTGGTAATCACACAATATCTTTTTCTGGTAGACGTTCCACTACCTCCAACAGGAGTTTTGTATTTTTGTCTTATTCATGAGTGGTTGTTCTTTCCTGCTGACGTGTTTCCACTGAGGAGATGAAGCATTTCTGAATCACCTCTCCATCCCAGCAGGACCTGTTTGTCACATTGAATCTGGTCGTCATCTTTATTTAAATTAACGCCCGTCTGTGCTACAGGTGGTCAGCTCGACCAACGGGGAGCTGAATGTAGACGATCCGCTGGCAGCTCATTCCAGCGCTCCGATTACAGCTCAGGCAGAGGTGGAAGTGGTGGACGAGGCCAAGTATGTGTCACACACCCGCCACACCGCTCGTCCATGTCCATCTGTCGTTTCCTCTCTTTCCCTCTCTCTCTCTCTGTCCCTCTCCCTCCCTCTCTTGCCAACGTATTGCTATGCTGTGTAATTGTGACAGCCCCCACTTCCAGCTGTCATCCTGCCCCTCTTCTGTCTGACTGTGGGTTTTTGATCTTTGCTGCTGCCTGACTCTTCACTGTTCTCTTGATTAGATTTCAATAAGATAAGAAAAAAAAGCCAACTCAAATTAACTTCTCAGCTGGACAGTATGAAGCCTCCCATACCTGTGGTGAGAGCCGTCAACCTCTGATGACATCCGTTCACTTTCCAGAAGCCAGAGCGTTTTAAAGAAATACTCCTCAGTCAATAAGCTGATCATCATGATTATAACAGTACCAGTAAGGTTTTGTGGTTGCATTAAAATGAGATCACAACAGATTGTCTATTAAGTCACGTTTCTAAGATGATGCACTCTGTGTCATTTCTTTCTCACTGAGAAACACACGCTAACACACATTAGCTTCTGAAACATGTTAATTACCTTCACACAGCTAATGCTAAACACTTCTTGGGGTTGCTTTTTTAGCACCAGCAGCTGGACTGATGCCACGCTGCATGGCCGACATAGAACTGTGGAAAATGTGCAGTGTTTGCTGAACGTCATGTGGTTCGCATGACAGACGGAGAATAACTGAGTGCAAAAACGTATGCAAAAAAATTATTTGTGACACGATAAAAAAAGAATACAAATTTACTTAATATATACAATTCACAAAATTATAAAGCAGTTCACTTCATGATGAGACATTTCTCTTACTTTGAGTCTTTGATTGAGAGAGGACACAATCACCTTTGATTTAACCCATGTTAACTTTTAACCTAGCAAACCTCAAAGGTGCAGGTCAGACCAGACACCACATACGATTAGCTTCAGAGAAAATCTATTATTTTGGTGTGGTGGAAGTTTTCGTATACAGCACATACTTAAAACACAGTTAAGAAATATTAGGATATTACCAAGGTATGGTTTGGGGTGTGTAGCTGAAGGTCATCAAAAAGGTGGTCTTGGACTTGAAATAATATACACTGGTCTTTAACTCCAAACTGAAACATTTTATCTGTGAAAACTGTGTTTTAGAATTACGCCAACATTTAAGACATGTTTAAAAGTGTGAGCTGTAACAGATGTGTTCTCACGTTAACACAAAAAATAAAGCTGGTGTTAAATTATACAAACAGTGTCACACTGCAAGGCTAGTTACGTTTATGATACTCTACACAAACACATACTGAACCTTTTTGACACAAAGTCCAGCTTTTTTATTTATTATTTTTAAGGTTTACTTTTGGGGCTTTTATGCCTTTTTTTTATATAGAGATATGAAAGTGGATAGTCAGAAATCAGGGAGAGAGAGAGTGTGGAGTGACATGAGGGGGAGGAGCCACAGGTTGGATTTGAACCCAGGCCCACTAGGAGGACCACAGCCTCTGCACATGGGGAGGCCAACTAACCACTAGGCCACTGGCACCCCTTCAGTCCAGTTTTTTCATCCTAACATACAATCTTCTCCATCAAAGTTCATTAAAGCCGTAGTAAATAAATCCTCCCTTCCAGTCGTCTCCTCATGAATCTCTGAGGTTCATTCACTTCAGTATTCATGTGTTTCTATCTCTGTCCTGATGACAGGCTTTCCTCCTGTTGGCTCCGTTTGCACAAACGTTTGATATGATGATTGTGTTTTTTATGCCTGCGTCTTTGATACCTCATCAGAGAAGTTTACCTTTTGATTAAATGACATGTAGTGATTAATGCAAATCTACTACCACTGACTGCTTCATGAGAACGTGCTGTTGACTCAGTTACCCTTTAATATACGTTCATGGGCTGATTTAGCTTCTGACAACGACAATAACAAAAGAACAAATATTAAAAGTAAAATAAAGGAAACTTTGTGATGTAATAATAATGAATGATTTATATTTATGCATCTTCCTGGTGATTTATAGCAAGAGCAAAAACACACTTTTTGTTTTAGGGGGTGGGGGTTATTGACAAAATCTAAAATTCAACTACATCATTCTCAGTAATAGAACAAAATTGTTTTTCAGCTGGTTGAATCTGCAGAAGAAACTACAAAACTACTCTTCCTATTTAACCTGTTTTGATTCAAGTATTAAATTAAGTGATATTTCTGTTTTCTAACCTGACACTTAAAAACTGTGAAAATTATTCATTACATTAAAATATATACAAACTACCCAATATACAACACCTGAGAGTGAATTAACCAGAAACGACTCATTTATTAATGACTTCATGACTTTGATTTGCATTTTTGAATGTTTCTAAATAGTTACCATGAAGTCTGAATGACAAACTTTAATTTTCCACACGTGTACATAAGAATGACCGTCATACCAACATGTTTATAGTTTTACATGTTTATTCATTTTAGATTGATTTGCAGGAGTTTAGCTACAGCTTGTGATGCTACATTGACTTCCTGTTTGCATATGTAATTGCCTCTTATTGGACAGCACTACAGACTTCAGTCTTTACTGATGAAGGCATTACATGTTCCAATGCAAACTGATTTAGAGAATCCAAACGTCATAAAAATCTTCTAAAGGAAATATAAAGTAAGTGATGTGTTGTTTGTAAACAGACGGGTCCACCTTGTCATTATTTTAGTCGTTGGAAATGAATGGTAGGATGTTATTGATTTCTGATTTTAGGCAGCAGACATGGTATTTCCTCACTAGTCGTTATGTTCCTTTTTCTGCCAAACCTTTCAAAAGTTTCCTATCTGTGTCCACTTGTGTCCTGTGTGTGTGTGTGTGTGTGTGCATGTTAGTGTGGCATGTGCCCGGTCCCATCATCTTGGTCTTGCTGTATTAATCTCTCGTACTTTTCTCTTTACACTCTTCCCTCTCTCTTTTTCTGTAGCTGCGTGAAAATGCTCAACCTGTGGTGAGTCCCTCTCTGCTAGTCCACATCAGACTCATGGGACAGGGAGTGGACCGGCCTAGGCTGGGCGCGGTGGACTTGTTAATAACAGATTTTTACCTAGACTCATAACTGGTACAATAAAGCCAAATACTCCTGAGTACTCTCTCAATGATGTGACATTTTCTGCCTTTTTTTTTTCTCCACCACTGCCCAATGTTGATAAGTGACAGATGAAGTGCTGCTGTTTTAAAAAAAGCAGCCTGACATTAAACTTCCCAAGTTGTCACAGCAGAGCAAATAGTAAACAAAGAAGTACTTTTATATGAATGAACTCAGTTCTTAACTTTAGCCCTCTCTTCTATTTACTAGAGATGACTATTTGAAGCAGCACATCTGGCTTCAGATTCTTAAAACTCTTGTTGCATGGTGCACCATTTCTGCATTAGTAACAAATAAATCTGAGAGCACCCATTCACTGTCCTATGTCTCGATCCACAGCTTTTCTCTCGTCTTTGTATGTTTTTTTATTGACCATTCAGGTTCTGCATGTCTTGTGCTCTTTGTGTACACCGCTCCTTTTTTAAACCGAAGAAATTCTGCCACTGCAGCACATTCCTGTCTATTTCCCCGTCTGCCTTGTTCCTGTTCGGGAGAATATGAATTCAAATACTTGTCCTTGATTTCAGTTATAATCCCCTTTTCCAACTGCAGTTTTTTTTTCCTATTATGATCCCAAAACATGTTTCAATCCGGATTCAAAAGAGTCAAATTGAGCCCTTTTGATATTTAGCACACTGACATTAAGCAGTCAGCTTGTGTTTGTCATTTCTCTTGCTCTGTCTAAAGCCTCTGTCATCTACATGTGGGCTGACTTTGTGTCTCTCTCTCTCTCTCTCTCTCTCTCTCTCTCTCTCTCTCTCTCTCTCTCTCTCTCTCTCTCTCTCTCTCTCTCTCTCTCTCTCTGAAGGTGCTGCTGCTTCTTCAAGCGAAAACGGAAGAAGAACACGCCGAGGCACAAATGATCAACCACCACCGGCCTGAAACCTTTCAAGTGTCTGGCTCAGTTAATTGTGATTACAGAAATCAATAAGGTCCCATTCAGAATAAAAGCGGGAGACGACTGAGCGATCTTGATTGAATTGTTCTCCGGAGGGACCGGTTAAAAATGGTTTGTTGAGATTTACAAGACGTTTGTGTCTCAATGGTAGATTACTTTTGAATATATTTTTTCCCCCCTCCTCCGAGATGTGTTGCAGTCCAGTCGTCCAAACTGGGAACCTTTTTGTTGGAATTTTGCAGAGGATAATGATGTTTTTTTTCTTTCTTAAGACCCCCAGCATTTTTGTATTTTTTCAGTTTTTGTCTCTTTTTTTTTTTGCCCGTTTGTCTTCTGTGGTATTGAAACGAAGAGACTCCTGTGGGATCTTCATCGTCTTACACACAATGATTTTCTGGTGCAAAATCATGTTGTCACTTCGCAGTCCACAGTTTGTTTGCTCACTTGTTTTGACTGAAAGCCCTTCTGTTTATTTTCCTACCATGGGACCGAATGTAAACCCGAACACAGGAAGGAGCCAAGAGCATAAAAATCTCACCTCACACACTGAAACAGAGAGCATCAGTCTGACACTTTGGCCCCTGCACTTTTTTTCCTCCAAAGAGGTCAACCCACCCTGGCACTGGGTTCTGGACCAGTGAGAACAGGAGACCAGAGACGCCTCCTGCACTGCGTTGTCTGAGGAGGATTTCTGCTCAAGCCGCTTGGTGAAAGCACTCCTCTTTAGCACGCCGCTGTTCAAACACACTACAGTCTCATTTCTGCTCCTGTCTGCTTTGTGATGAGGAGCTGAGCGGCTACCAGACACTTATAGACGGGGCTGAAAAAAAAAAAAGATGCTATTTATGCTATTTATCTAATAAGTTGCCACCAGTTTTCTTACTAATTCTTAAACATACGCACTGAATGTATGGACAGAAAAGTAAATGACTTTGGCTTTTATGTAATCTGTCTTGCGCATGGGAAGGAAATTGCATTTAAAGGAGTTAAGAGCGACGTTTTAAAATGGAAAGAGACCAAAATGAGTGGACTACAGGCTTAAATTATCATGATCTTAATAATGTGATGGTCAATAAAGGACTGTACACCAGTGCACACTGGGGGATGATGCTTTGGAGTGACAAATGAACCTGGCGTGATGTGCTCTGGAGATTGAATCACAGCCTCTCGACGCTACAATCCAATGCCTTAACCCCAACACACTGACCGACCAACCAGTCCACCACCACGACACATCATCACATGAAGGAGTCGGGCCTCATGACAGCGCAACTTTGATGGTCACCTGTATAATAAAACCCAAAGCTGCGGACTGTTTTCAGCTGGTATTAGTGCAGTTAATGACTTCCCTTGCAAAACTGAAGATGTATTCCCAAGAGAGAGAGAGAGAGAGAGAGAGACATGCCAAATGGGAGGTTGGGTGTAGTAATCTGTAACGGTGTGAGGATGTCCCCGCCCCCTTTGTGTCCAGTCTGAGGACCCCTGTGCTGCAAAGCGATGTTCCACGTTTGGACGACTCTGCTAAAAGCACGTTCTCTCGATGCAGAGAGAGAACCTTAACACGAGCGAGGGCGGATAAGTGAACATGTCCATACAATTCTTTTAATTATTTTTTTTTTTGTGTGTGTCATGGAGGACTGCCTTGAAAACGATATCCTCAACATGTCACCTTGCCTATCCTCCTAACAGAGTGAATTACCGTACATAGGTGTTTTATTTTTTTATTTTATATCTTGCTAATGTGAATTTTTTGTTAATGCAATTTTTTTTTTTTCCCCCATTCCAAATAGCCATGGTTTTACGGGGAAAGAGAGGGTAACAAAAAAAGCTTGAGACCATGACTGCACTACATTTGTTGACCCCGGCTTTCCCTGACAAGACCCTGCCTTCTTAATACTGTACTTTAAACGTGCTTATTACTTTAATTGTAGCCGCCTCGTGTGCTAGGCCTTCCCTATAGGGTGCAGGGAATACACTTTATATCCATCTTCGTCCCCCGCCCACTCCTTTTTTTTTTGTGCCATGAGCCCTCCCCCTTTTTATCTTTTAAACACACACGCATGCACACACTCACACATGCAAGTCCTCCCTAATTCAGCTCTCAGTGGAGTGTTTGATTTAGCGTTATTTTGGACTTGCTCCATCCTTTCTAAAAATGTTGTAGATGTTGCAAACTCTCTCGATGAATCAGTATGTAAACCTGCTTGTTGCGTGTATTTACACTGTATAGCTTTTGGTTCATTCTCACCCCCTGACATGTCAGTTAATCCGGGGTCTAAGTTATTGTGTTATTGAAAGTACTTGAATATGAAAATCTACGGGACCTTTTCTGTTTGTTTAAGCTTTATTTTCTGGTTGTTATCATAGTGATTCCATGCATAGGATTCAAGGGGGATGGTGGGAACACAGGCTATTTGAATGACAGGTATTCATTAGTTTGAGATGTCTTAGTGCCTCTTGAGTGTGTTGGACAGGTGACGTCTGTCAGACTCACCTGTGGAGTCGGGTGCTGGCTGGTGTTTATGACTGGGTGAGTCTTGTCTCTGTTTCTACCCAGAGTAGGAGTAGTTGGATGTTGGTTTGGAGGTTGAAATCACTCTTTTGTCTCTGTGAAACATTCAACATAATGTATATGAATCAATATCCTCAAATGCTTCATTTTTTTTTTTGTTTTATAATTCCAGACATCAAACCTGTGACATCTGCTGCCTGTAAAGCTCCCCAAAAAGCCTCCGCAGCACCCTGACTGTTTCCTTCCAGCTACCTGAGAAAAGTTGAAAGTATTCTGTATAGTGAGATGGATATCCAGACTATTTAGCCTTCAAAGTTTCCCCCTGAATTCCCGCGTGCCATTTTCCTGAGACTACTACTAGCCTATGCCTTTTACCTGTGCCAGGAAAATCATAAAGTTGAATGTTTCTCGATCATCACATTCCACCTTAGTCCTTGACGTGTCATTTTTGGAGGAAAAAAAAAACCGCAGAGAGTGATGTGACTTGATTCACGACCCAAAAGTGTTGTCGTAGAGGTTGAAGAGAAAGGAAAGTGTTTTATGAGTCGTCTCTGTCCGTTTCTAACTTCTTATGTTGTAAATTAAGAAGAAAGCCATCTTGGTTTGGTATTTCAGAGTTGAATTTGTGACTGGTCATCTTTGCAACATCTGCTACTTCCTGAAACTCGCCTCGCTCTTTAGCTCACGGCTGAAACAGTAGATATATATAACTCTGATGTATTTATTTTTGACTCTCTGGGCCTCATACAGAGCTATATAGGAACACTGTATGGTTCCTGTCTGCATGGCTTATCTGGAGACGACAGCAAGCGATCTCTCCAGTGAACTTTCTCACCTGTTGGATCAGTGAGACGTTATGGCTTCCAGTTCTCATGTAAGATATAAAAAAAAAAAAACTTTTTTTCATTTCTTATCACAGCGTGGACCATTTCAGTTCCCATCACTCCTGATAAACTTCTCGTCAGTCAGACTTGTGTTTATGGCTTTGGTTGTGTGTAGCTCACATAGCTGTGTAAATCAAAGCAAAGGACGGTTTGAGTGTGAATGAATGGCTTCGGTCTCTTTGGGTTCTCTGGCACTTTTTCCTTGTTGCTGTACTGTAGAATCGTCTTGGATTTACTGTATATTTTTTTTGAGGGAGAGGTTGAGGGTGACATTTATTGCAATATTGTGATAATTATTTGAAATTTGTAAATTGTACAGAGTTCACAAATAATACTCTTTGTTCTTTCTGTTGGGATTCAGTATAAAAGATGTATTCTTTGATTTCTTCCCCCCCTCCCTCTCAGACTGTGGAAATTGTACAGCTCCAAGAGTTTATCCTCCCCTCGCATTGTTTTTTTTTTTTTTTTCCAGAGCTATGATTAAGAGAAATCTTAAAAACTGTAAATAAATATTATTGTGTTGAAATATGAATGTCACTTCAAAAATGTATTTGAATGAGTTAGTCAAGGGCTTCAAGAATGAAGGACCCACGTCTCTTCTTTTTATGGTTTCCTATTTTTAATTTACAGAAAGGTAAAGGTCCTTTTTATCGGAGATGCCTGTGTTTATTTTCCCTCCTTGGATTCGTATAATACAAATGTTTGACACACGAACCTTATGAAATCACTTTTTATTCCCTCCACACCTAAAGGGAAACTCCAGTTTGCACCCTTTTTTATGTAAAATAAAAGATCTCTCCACCTTGTGGGAATGTCTGTTGTGAGATTATTTTTGTACTCGTGTTTTTAATGCACACAGATGCTGAATGCAGAAGATTCACATGAACGTTGGAGAACTTTTACACCCTCTGGTTATGAAAGCAACAGTACTTGTGTTCACAAATGACAAAAAGTTGTATCTTCCTGACAGCTTAGTGACACTCCTTCAGTTTCATGTTCACACAGCTTTCATTTGTCCCTGTTCATTAGAAACAATCATCTTTATGTGTAAGGGCAGGACTTCTGAAAGGACAATCTTTCTTTCCAGCTAATAACCCGGTCTCTTGGCCAATAGCAGTAAGATAATTGATTATTTCCCATTGTTGTATTTTCAGATTCAGTTGCATGGCCTCTATTTTTCAGTTGAGGGTAAGACTAAGATGTAGTGAAAGAAAGGGGATAAACTGGATTTAATGTCCTGTAGCTCTGAACCCTTTTGGGTTATTTGTTGCAAATTACAATCAGTTATCAGTCCTCAGAAATAAAAGAAGGCCACAATGGCAGAGATACGTTGTCACAGTTACATGAACGACCCTATGCCAATAAGTGCAGGCCTAGTAATGATAAAAGTGAACGATCAAAATGAATGATTAATGACCTTAAGTCACTAGGCTGCGTTTCTTAAGAGTATAGATACGTGTCCCATAGACTTGCATTTGTTACGTTTTGATATAATCTATCAAACCTATCAAAAATGTAGCTTTATGTCTGTGAAATATGAAGCAAAACACAGGATGAGGATGGCTTTTTTACCAGACTTTATTTACTGCTCTTAACAAAACTGATGTACAAAAACAAGTCTCTTACGTCAGAGGAAACTCTCCTACAACACGTCTTTGATGTCACTGTTGTATTTAATGGATTCTTCTGTAGATATATTTTTATATCCTATTGTTTCTTTAAATGTTGTCAACTTATCCCAACATATATACATATATACATATACAGATATTTTTAATACAGTTAAATATTTAGTCCTTATATGAACATGTAATGTTGAATAACTTATTCATAAATACAGTAATATTATCCTCCTCATGCACATGCACACCTTTCATGTAAATACTGTAAAACTCTACCTCATGTATATTAACCTTCTCTTACATAATTACATATTTACTATCATGCTCACCTCAGCATTTTTGCACTACACACAACTGCACTCTTATTGTATACTGTATTTCTTTGCTTATTTATGTGTATATTTAATTTTATACTTTTGTACACAGAGAGCACAGTTCACCCAAGCTAAATTCATTGTGTGTGTTTAAGCATACCTGGCCAATAAAACTGATTCTGCTGAAAATCTGAAAAAAATAAAAAGTATTATGTAATAAATACACCGAAAATAATTTCATAAAACTGACTTTCATTTTATGATGCATACAAAAAGAGTACATTTCTTAATGTCTGTTTCTCTTGCAGTTCCTCCCTCCCGCCGCTAGAAGTCGCTGTAGGTCTGAGCTGTGGTGCCAGCCGCGAGACTGTTAACTATAAACTTCCTGTATGAACATCCGGTGCTTCTCTTCCGCCGGTTCAAGTCAACATGGTGGGTACACGGAGAACACTGTTCTTGCATCAGTCCTCTGAATCCCTGTTAATCCTCTCCCTCTGTCTGCCCAGCAAACTGTTACAAACATTATTCTGCACAGAAACTGCACGATGACCTTTAACCCCTGAACATCGACGCTCTTTAGCGGAGTTACAGACATGTAAACACCGGCTGAACGCTCCGGTCTCATCGGGAGCTTCTTGGACCTTCAGCGGACCAAAACAACCCGCACAATAAACATTTAATTTGTGTTGCAGATGTTCGTTTATCCCGTCACAAGCTGTGAGAGCCAGAAGTCGATTTAAATCACATTTTGACTCTTTGATTTGACTTTAAATCCAGTTTAAAGATACTCATGTTTTTTATTATAATAAGAAGTAAAACAGACTGACTAATGTGGGGCATGTAGTGTTTAAACTGTCTGCTCATTTGTGATTGAATTAATGTGAATAGGCTCTAAAAATAAATTTAAAAAAATAGACTCGCAACTAATATAATCTCAGTTGATGACATCTCAGGTTTACTGAGTTTGGAGAAACTCTCTGCAGTGATTTATTATTATTTATGGAAATGTATAGATTTAGTTAGGAAGAAGAAATGTGCTGCTTTGATTTAATGTTTATTTGATGAGTTTGAGTGTTTTTGTTGTGTGTTCCTGAGATATCTGATGGCAGTGGGACTTCTTGGTAAATAAAGGTTAAATAAACACAAATAAAACAGATAGTTGTAGCTTCGTCCACCTGTATGTGTATTGGTAGCTTTGCCTTTATTTTCATGACAATTACTAAGAGGTAGGCTACTGCTGCGTGATCACATCCCAGCTTTTATATCCAGTCTGACCACTAATCATTTGCCGACTTCTGACGAACATCACAGTTTTCCTTCACACTTGCACATACTTCTGGTTGTTGGTGATATATTTCTCATGTTTCATATTTCTCCAGGGACGCGTCAGAACCAAGACGATCAAGAAGGCCTCCAGGGTCATCATTGAGAAGTACTACACCCGTCTGGGTAATGACTTCCACACCAACAAGAGGGTGTGCGAGGACATCGCCATCATCCCCAGCAAGCCTCTGCGCAACAAGATTGCTGGGTAAATTTGACTGTGCTGCTGTTTTTATCGTGTGTGCTGCAGAAAACGTGCCCTCCTGTCTGCTGCTGTTCAGACAGTTTTCAGTCGGATTTGATTTTTCCAGCACTTTTCACTTTCAGCTCATCAACAGCATCAAACTGGTTATTCTGGGTCAACAGAGTGGTCAGTATGACACGATAGAAAACCTGAAGACACAGAGAAATAAAGATTAACAGATTCTCTGATGTGGACTTGTAAACACTGTGTGATTGCTGCAGCAGTGCGTGCTTCAATATTCACAGAAGACCCCCCTCAAGATGGTCAGGAAGATCAGAGTGTTCGATATGGTTAGGAGAAAAACAGTCTGTGCTTGTACTGTTCAGTCCGGTCTACATCAAATGAGGACTTTCTAGAAAGGCCCATTTTAAACCCTTTGGCTCATTGGCTATCATTCATTCTTAGCTTGGTGATCATTTTTATTCTGTAAGATTATAGAGCAGGTGTTACAACAACAGGACTGGAAATATCTTTGCACAAGTACAGCATCATGTAGTTCATTTTTAAATAAAACATCCCAGTAAGATTTTGGTGCTTGCATCTTATTTAGTGTTGACGACAGGACATAAATCATACGCTTGCTTTAAAATATATATATATCAAATGCTGTCTTTGCTGCAGTTTTGCACCTTTAGCGTTTCTGTCCAAATGAAGTCTCCACTTAATGTTTCACTCAAAGAGGAGGTGAGTGCAGAGAAATAGCAGAGTGAGTCAGCAGGCAGTAAATCCCCTCAGAGACCTGACTGATGGAGTTTCCTGCAGCTGTTCATCTCAATTAAAACAAGCACACACTTTAATTAGCTTATTATTTTAATGGAAGTTTTCTTTGTGGACATCTGTTTGGTTTTCTTCTCTGAACAAAGGGACTTGTCCTGTTCTCTGCAGATATTTGTGTGTTTTTGAATCAAGTCTTCTTACAACACTTGGTGTTTTGCGCCGACAGCTGAAGGTCGGTCGTTCTTACTCAGCAGACTTTAAGTGCCGATTTTTAAATTGAACTAAGTTGCTTTGTTGCTTTTGTACACTTAAAATGTGGCACATCAAAAGGTGATTTAAAAAACAGAGTCGATTGATTTCAAATGTATAAGATTAACTGGGTATAAAATATGGTTTGTTTTGCTGCTAATTGATGCTGACTTATCTTCAGTAATGTATTGTAGCGGGATGCAGCAATGCATCGGGTCAGTGTCGGCCAATGTCAGCCCAGACGACTGCAAACAATGTTTGATGAAGCGATGTCAGTAGCTTGTGATAATTTATTGCACCAAATCAATTTAATGCTGGCATCTTGTACAGCTAACTACTGATTCAGAGAAGAGTATTTTTACTGGAGAAGTCACCTGTTGAACAAATTGTTTTCATCGTCACACGAGTGAAAATGTTGGCGTTGTGGGAGTCTTACACTAAAAGAAGTCTTGAAACCAAAATCAGCCCTGATTTTCCCGATCAATCGGTGCATCTCTAGATTAAAGATTTTATTGTAAAGCAGTTGCAAAATAAAACTTTCTTTTAGTTTAAAAAAGCACCTTGAATTCTCCTTGTGTTCTAACTTTTTATGAATTCACAGAAATGTTGCTTATAAACCGTAAAGTCGTAGATAACTGTGTTCAGCTGTATTTTGGTATCCAGCAGTTGGGAATATGAAAAAAAAAAACATCTTGCTGAAGTGAATAGAAATCATCTGTTTTAAAAATGGAGTCTAAAACGTATTGACCCTGAAATGACTGGAGTCTCCGTACACTCTAAATGAAGATAGTAGTGGGGGTGTTTTCTTTGTATGCTTAATAAGCTGGTGTTTCTGTGTGTCTCTAAGGTATGTGACACACCTGATGAAGAGAATCCAGCGCGGTCCAGTCAGAGGAATCTCCATCAAACTGCAGGAGGAGGAGAGAGAGAGAAGAGACAACTACGTCCCAGAGGTCCGTTACACTCATGAGCAGCTCACTCACTGCTTCGGTTTTGAAACCTGCAAACATCGTCGCAGTTTTAAATCTGAATATTTGTTAGCTGATAAATTCTCTAAAGATTGAAGTCAGAAAGTCTGATCGACAATCTTGTGGACTAACTGATTTTACTGACAGAGACAGACTGAACACATTGTAAACTTGCACATCAGTTTTTCATTTCTAAAAGGTCTAACATGGAAGATAAGTCCAAGTTCAGAGAGATAACTTGGATTTGGTTTTGCTCCTTTTAGATTTCTGCTCTGGACCAGGAGCTCATCGAGGTGGATCCAGACACGAAGGAAATGCTCAAGATGCTGGTAAGAGAGAACACAATGGAGATTTAGTTCTCCACCTTAA